TTGCCATTGCCCAGTGGGCAGTGACAGCTTGATTTTGGTGTCCATGGTGGCTCCAGCCAGGGTTGGCTCTGTCAGTTTAAGCAACCTAAGGTGTGCTTTCACATTCAGTTCCTTTCCCCTCAGATTGCAGAATGATAAAGATGGGCTCTTTTAGTGCTCCTTCAGCAGCTCGTATACTGGAATTGGACCGACACAGAGACGATTGGTGTGGCCCCTGCACAGGATGACACACGGGGTCCTTATTCAAAGAGGTTAAGGAAAAAAATAGAGAACAAAAAATGAACTCTTTATTAATTAGCCTAAGCATATATATTTAAAGACCAAACTGGACTATCCTGAAAGATACGTTTTGTAGAAAACTAGCTTCTGAGTACCCATGGGTACTCAGCAAAGACCAAGATTTCAATGTGTTTTGTTTGAAAGATCTTTTTAGCATTTTAGTTTGGTCAAACCCAGGGCCTTTCTTGCCCCTCAACACATGCAAGGGAATCGCTCTGCCACTGAGCAATGCCCCCAGACCCTAGTCGGCTTTTATAGTTGGTTCATGAACTGGGCAGTCTGCAAAACAGAGGTGATGCAATGGGCATGGCAGAGAATTCAGTTTTTTAAAGGCAGCTTGAGCAGGAAGAAGGGAATAGCACAGTACAAAAGGTGGATGGGTTGACATGAGGTTGTCTCAGATCACTTTCCTTGTTGGGGTTGGAGCAGAACGGATTCCCTTATCTGCCAGCTCAGGTGGACTTTGGATCAGTTCTTGCAAATCTTGTGTCTTTTTTTTTTTTTTTTTACTGGCCTGTTTGGAGATCTCTCTTCTGGTTCTAGAGGAAGTCGGATCTTGGGAGCTTAGGTTTTACTTTGGTGATGTGGGTTCCTGGCATGAGTGGCTCCATTTTGGGTTGGTTGGTTAGGGTCTACTGTAAGAGTGCAGTTCAAATCAATGGCCTCCTGTGAATCTTATTTAACAGAACTTCCCTATTAATGTCAGTACCCAATCATGTCATTCCATCCCCAGGTGGGCTACATGTTGAGCTCTGAGTTGAGAGTCTTTCCCAGGCCATGCTCTGGGCCCCAGACTTTCTCTGCTTAGAGTCTGGTGTGAAATCTTCATGTAAATCTTTACAGGCAGCTGTTCTACAGCACACAGAGTTCTCAGCTCCCTGATTAAAAACGGGACCTATCAGCTTATAAACCAAACAGAGGACAAAATTCCTGAAACCTTGCCAATTTTCTCTCTGTTGAAAGAATTCTTGGCAGTAGTTAACACATTTTGCCCAGTACTAAAATAATTCTGTTATATCCACAATGAGAAGGTTTTGTAAAATGGGGTTTTTCTTAGCCTATTTGAATATATAAAATATTGGTGTTCAACCCTGCTTTACTTTAAAACTTATTACAATTTTTAAAAAATAACCCTTACCTGGGTCCCACAATACACCAATTAAATGATAATCTCTTCTCAGAGTTGAGAAAAGTTAACATGTTTCAGGGTGGTAGACGATCTTTCCAAATGCATATGAGTATTAATCTGTTTCCAATTGCTATAATAAATACCTGAGACTGGGTACTTTATAAAGAAAAGAGGTATATGTTGCCAACAGTTTTGGAGGCTGAAAGTCCAAGGTTGGATGGTTCCCTTGTTCCAAGAAACTAGAAGGGCCTCATAGTATCCTGGCAGAGTACGTGAGAGAGGGAAGATCACATGGCAAGACAGGAAGCCAGAGAGCTGGGGGGCTCTTTCATAACAACCCTCTCAAGAGACTATAACCAGGGTCTCAGAAAACTAACTTAATCCCTCTGAGCAGGGTCCTAGTACCCTAACGACTTCCACTGGTCCCACCACTTCTCAACATTGCCACACTGGGGACCCAAGCTTCTAGTACATGAATCCTTGGGGACAAACCATATTTGATCCATGCCAATGCTTATTTGGTTTAAATTAATTTATGCACATTTAAAATCACAGATTACTGTAATTTGCAAGTGTAGCTCTCCCCTCTTCTTTCCCATGGGTAAATGCCACTCACAGAGTCCCTCTGACATCCTGGACAGTGTTTGAGCATCTCACCAGGCCATGTGGCCCTGCAGAGGACCCCGCCTTCCCTTTAGATAACTTAGTTGCTTAGGATCTTGCTCAGTTACTGAGGCTGGCCTTGAACTTGAGATCCTCCTGCCTTAGCCTTCAGATCCATTCAGAGCAAGCCTGGGAGAGCTGAGGATTGGCCAGTGGCCCTCACTGGCAGAAAGAACTAGCCAGCAGGTGTGTGGACAGGAATACAGTAGGACCGTAGGGGACTTGTGGAGATGAGGCCCTAGGGCAGGGTGGCAGGATGGGAGGGGCAGGGAGAGCACTGTGTTGAACTGCAGCCTGTGCCCTGACCTGGACAGTGCTGACAGCATCTGCTGATGACCTCGGCCCTCCCTCCCTCCACAGATACGTGGTGTTAACTGGCTCAGACCTGTGCTAGCCCCAAAGCACAGTTCGACGAGGTACTTGGGGGACACCGAGGCACAAACCCAGACTGGAGGTGGGAGAAGGCACCTAAGGAAGTGCCATCTAAGCTGAGGCCTGGGCAGGCTGAAGGGCTGGGTGGCTGTGGGCAGCTCTCCCTGATCCTTGGGGAAGGCTGCCTTCCCTCTGCCCTCTGCAGGTACTGCTCTCTTGGGCACTGGGCACCACTCCCCACCTCCAAGTCTTGTCTGCTCCTGACCTTCAGAGCCTGGGGCCTTCCTGCACCGGTTTTGGCAAGATCCAGCTGTCACCTCCTGCTTCTTGTCCCTTGTCTGACCTTTCTCCTCATTTCTGCCTCTGCCACCCAAACATAGGCTCTTCAGTGCCCTTGGCTCGTGCCCACCCAGCCTGCTCTCCACTGCCAGTCTTTTCTCCCATGACCACCTCAACGCCTTATTTCCATCTTCTGTCTGGGCTTCTCCAAGAAACCCCACCAGCATTTCAGACGAGAGGGAGCCTAACTTCCTGTGTTGTCCACGACCTCTCCAAATCCTGTTCCTCTTTCCACCTCCTTGGCCCTGCCCCAGCAGGCCCCTTCTCAGACACCTCTGCGCCCCAGAGACAGCCTCCGATACTTCAGCTGGCAGAAACCTCTTCTCTCTGGTGGTGCCCGTGCCTCCCTTGAGGGCAGGGCCCAGGTCCTTACCTTGGAGTATGGTTCCAACATGGGACTTGAACATCTCGATCGATGCTCGGTGACTGACGTGGGTTCACGTGAGCACTGACAGCAGTGCTCGTGATTAACCCTGGGTAGAGAATGAGGCATCACTGTGGATTTCGCAAGATGCAGCTATTACTCTTGACAACTAACCTATGAAGTGGCACAACCTAATAATCAGAGCCGAGAACAGGGTCTAGATGTCGATTTAAATCCTGTCCTCATCACCCTTCACGGCCCTCCTGGGCCATGTTCCTTGTCTACATCACAGGGATGGATGTGGCCAAACACTGACTTCAGAAAAGTTCTCTCTGGATTACGAAAAATCAAGGCAAACATGCATTGTAATGTAGCTTTCACTTCTGGAAAACATTGTGTTTTAGCAGGAACCTCATACCATTTAATCTGTCAAGTTCTAACATCTGTGTGTCTGCACGTGACCTGAAGTTCCCGTTCCCACAGCCCAGGTTCCAGGGCAGGAGGCAGAGCTGCCAGTGCTGAGGAGAGCGTGAGCAGACCTGCCCGGCCTGCTGGAGCGCACACAGGAGAGCCAGGTCCTCGGGAACAAGCCCTGGCATTGGGCCTCCTGAGGTTGTGAATGTACACAATTGTGCAAAGAGACACTTCTGTTCCTGCAAAGGACTCCTGTGCTGCTTCCTCTCTCTCTATTTCTCTCTCACACACATACCTCCCTGAGTGAGGGAAATGTGAGAAGAAAGTACAATCTCAAGTGAATTTTTTTAAAGAATTTTTATGAATTGTGATAAGCATTGCTTTTGTTGTTGTTTCCACTGTGACAGTGAGTGCCAGGAAGAGGACTCACACCAGAGTGAGAACTGTGTAGACTCCCTGGGGGAAATTCTCAGCTAGTAAGGCATGGAAATGCTTGGGGGGGCGGGCAGGCGGGTGGGGAGGTTAGATAAATGTGACCACACTGCTGAGCCAGAGGAAGGGGGAGGGGGCTTGGTGGGAGGCAGAGATGAAGAAAAAGAGTTCATGACACCGTGGAGTTAGCACTTCCTCAAGAGCAAAGTTCTCAGAGACCTGAGGATTAGAGGCCCCATCAGGCTGTGCCAATCCAGCAGCCCTGACCACAGGATGGGTGGAGGCTACCCAGTGCTGCCTCTCTGTAGCATGGATGGGGCCACACTGGCTGCCAGGGAGGCTTCAGGTGCATGAAGGTGCAGTCACAGAAAAGGAGGTGTGCTGGGATGGGCCTCGCCATGGAAGACACACGCCGCTCCAGGAAGATCCCAGCAGGTCCCTCCTGCCAGGTGCACATGGCATGGCCTTGGTTGTAAGCAGGAACCCCAGTTGGACGGGCGGAAGTGCCGTCACCCTCCAAGGACCTAGACACTGCTTTTTCCCAGTTCATTTCAGCTGCTTTGCAATAGATACCTTAAAAATCAATATAATAGATAAAAGAATTGTAATCTAGGCAAAACCCAGCCCATCACAAAGCAGAAAGGGAAATAAGCCATAATATGAAGTAAAAATTAAAAGGTAGCACATCATTACATGCATCATCATTTGTTTAAACAGGACCTTAATGCATCTGATGAACACTTACACAGCTTTCCTCCAGCAGCTCTGTTCTGGGCACTGGGACTGAGCCAGGGAGCAAATAAACAAAAGCTGCTCCCTTGAGAAGGTTAGATTTCAGAGGGAGTCGCACAGCTCAGCTCTCCACACCCCTACATCCCATTGAAGTGCTCTTCTAAACATCCATCCTGCTCATAAGTCTTGGTAGAAATTCAACTGAAGAGGAAAGTTGACGATAGCACCGTTCACATGTGCTCGTGATTTTAATGACAGTCACTTTTTGGTTTTTAGGGAGAAGAAAATGGCCTTCCGGACAGCACTGGAGAACCCCTTTCAGGTACATGATCCATTGTAAAGCCACCGGGGCTGCAGCAACAGCTAGTGTGGCTCAGTTGAGAATGTGTTGGTCATGAACTGTTGTGTGTGTGGCTTGATAACTTTGACCATCACGGCATTTTGAGAGCAGTAACGGGCACATGAGTAACCAAGGGCAGGGCTTGTTGGCCTTGCTCTGTCCTCACTGTCCTCTGGACAACTGCACACAGGTACAGTACAGGACACCCTGGTTCCTCTGGGCCAAGCAGCTCTGTTGAGCCCAGTACCAGTGTACCCATCTGGAGTCCCCGTCTCCTCCAAGGAAATTTCCTGGCCTCTGAGTGCTGAGAGGCTCGTTTCTTGAAGGCCACACCATGGACACGCTGTGAATGTTGCTGGTGAATTCTTGGTTCAACACCTTGTTGGTGGCAGAATGGCCCATCTTCTCGGCCTCCCTTCTTTGCAGGAACCCTTCTGCAGGGCCTGGGTTGGAAAGGAAAAGGGCAAGGGTTTGGGGAGAGGGAAAGCCTGTCGTAGACTTTTAAAATCTGCACTGCAGAGCAGAGCACTCTCCGTGCCGTGGCATGCAGGGAAAGGCATCCTAACAAAACCTCTCAAGTCTTCGAGGAGTGTTTTCTCCAAGCTAACCCTCCTTTGCTTCGGAAGGGGACAGCAGGTTCTGAATTGGCTAAAGACAAATAAACGTTCCCACAGACCCGCCCTCCCCCACCCATGAGATGGCAGCATGGGAGGGACCCATTGGGCTACAGCCGCCTCCATTCCCTCTCCTCCTCTAGTAGCAGCAGCCAAATGAGCTTACAGCATTAGGTCACAAGTTGTCCCCGTTCCTTCTCCTTTTCTGCTTTTGTGTCTCTAGCCTAAGACACTTTAAAGGTTGTCCCCCCTTTTCTTCCTGTGGTAGGGATTGGACCCTGGGCCTCAGGCACACTAGGCAAGTGCACTGCCACTGAGCCCATCTATCCCCAGGACATATTATTCTTTTCTAATTAAAATATATATATTTAAACTTTTAAAGGACTAACATCCTCCACACTGACATGTTAGCTAAAATAAAAATGAATAAGCAAATTTGTTTAGGAATAGCTATCAAGTTCTTTTATGAGTCAGGGTCATTCTTAATTAATAGATAAACTTTAATCAAGCTGTGGTCGTCTCAGAATGAAACAGGAGCCTTTCAGGGAGGCTGAACTTCTCACCACAACAGCGAGTAACACAATGGTGTGTGATGGGCTTGCCTGTGGTGCTCTTGGGAGCAGGAACTGTGTGATTCAAGTGGGGGTCTCAGCCCCTCCCATAGTGTCTGGCCCGCTTGTTTTCCAAAAACAGATAAGTGAGAAATATGGATTTAGTAGCTTTGCTCTTCATGCAAGCTGGCAAAAGCAGATCTGCAAATTTTGTGTTTGAATGAGGGTTGTACCTTAAGAGAGATTTATTTTATTCTATGGTACTTATAAGCACTAATTGGGCACCTTCCATGTACCAGGCACTAATGTGAATGACAGCCCTGCACATAAGGCCCTGTTATTTTCTTATTATACAAAAGTGGTTGGGAGCATCACAGGATCACCCAGGAGTAAATGGGATTCAAGGTCTGGGCAGCAGGCTGCCTCTGGGGCCTGCAAAATGCATCCCTGTATAGTTCAGCCATTGAGTGCTGAGCGTCCTGCGAGAGGGTGAGGTTGAGACTTCTGCTCTCTCAGAGTCTTCAGCTGGAACAGAGCCTACCCCAACTCCCCAGAAGTCTACCCCAAACCCCCAGAAGTCAGTATCTGAGCCATTTTTCACAAAAGCTTGCTACTTTCCATGGACAAGGTCCCTGGTCTTAACCCAGGTCTGGCTTTTATTTAATTCTTGCCCTTTGAAGTCCTTAGGGGTTAAAATAAGGGACATGGGCAGGGTGGAGAGCACTGGGGTGGAACGAGGGACTAGACAGGAGTGACGAATGATAGCAACAGATGGTCATCAAGAAAAGAGAGAAGATGCAGCGTAGAACCAGCTACCACTGGAAAAGCAAGTGAAGACAGAAGCCAGCACCCAGCAGGCCCCCAAGTAAGGCATTGCTATAGATGCCCTGGCTAGAGCAGCAGCAGTGACCATTCAGCTGACCCTGCTAATGGAGGCCCGAGAGTTTTACAGTGCTGTCACTCAAATATGCTAAAGGAAAACGTGGGCATGAAAGCAATAAGCCTCCATTATATAATATGCAAAACGTTCCCCAAATTGGAAGACTTCATTTCCCCAGTGTGCCCAGTAAACTGAAGCATCACTCCTGGGTTTAAAATATGAAGCAACAATTGACAAAAACCCTGGTTGTTCATGCCCTTTGAGGAGCAGTGATAGGACACATGCCCTGATGCTTTGGTACCCATTGCCAGTTTTTCAAGGATGACTTTCTGGTGACCTCAATTAATTTGACACTTGCTACCCTAAATAACCTCCCCATAGAACTGAATGCAGAGTAGGATGGTGATTTTTTTTCAGATTAGGTCTGTGAAGTGACACTTGTATATTTGCTGTGTCTCATCTCTTCAGAATCACATGATTCAAATTCATGTAAAAATCTACACAAATTTTAACTCAGGTCCTTTACTATAGAAGAGCTTATTTTTTTCACACAGCTTGAAGACAGAATTGAGGTCCAGTGTGATTTATTTGCCAGTATCCACCCAATTTGTCCATGAGACGCTCCCATGCTGCCACCAACTTGATGTCTCCTTAAGGAGAGAAGAATGAAATCATGTTGATTTCTCCTTTGGTGCAGAGATCAAACACCCACCAAATGCCCTTGAGTCCATTTCTTGGTAGATAAAAATAATTACTCATCACTTCCAGCTCATACCATAAAACTAACCTAACAAATACTGTGGTGTGTGCACGCCCCAATCCAATGATCATCAAAACCAGAACTGGCATTTTAACAGTAACCATATGTGAAACCACATGCAGAAAAAGGCATGATTTTGCACCCTTAGTAAGCATCACAACAGAAGCGGGAGACTCCTTGGACACCTCTTGGTATTTCACAGACTCCAACGCTGATAATTTATAGACAGCTAGGATAGGGTTATTTTATTTCAGAACCACAATATTTTGCTATCTATAAAGTGGCAAATATAAAATTTTTACTGTTTGTTGAACCAACTCCTGGGGAGCATCATTATGATGCAGCCAGGAGCTAACGGGGTCCTGGAGAATGGGAGGGAAACGCCAACGCAGTAAGAGCTCCGGAGACGCCAGAGTGTGCGAGATAAAAGGGCGCCTCCTCTGCAGGGAGACCATTAAGTCCACGTGTGATCCACTGCCAATATCCTGACTGAAGCTACTTCTAGGCTCAACGAATCATGACCTTTGTGAATTTTGAACCTTGTTCCAATCCACAGTTAAATGTTAATTTACTGGCATTTATAGCCTGCCAGCCCCAAAGGTAAGAGTTCCACTATTGGACACTAACTGTTTCTTACTGTTCTAAATGACCTTGACCTCCCTGTGGATGAGCATACTTGGCTCTCAAACTCTTCTTCAAAGTATGATGTAAAAATATAGATATGAGAAAGGGTGAAGAGTCAGGGGAGGGGAGGGGAACGGAGGGAATGCTCCCAGGGAAGGCCGTCCCTGTTACCTGTCACTGAGTGTGGAACCTGAGGTCCTCCCTCCTCTCTCTCCCTGCCCTCCTTCCCAAGGGACACTATGTTGTTCAGGTTTCCTCCCTCCCCCAGGGGCCACTCTCAGGACATCGTGCATGGTAGGCAATGCTCCATCCCTGAGCTCCATCCCCAACCTGTTCAGGCTGGTCTTGAACCCCTGGATCGAGTGGTCCTCCTTTCTCAGCCTCCCAAGTAGCTGGGACCACTGGTGCACACCCCCTACCCTGCATATCTCCAAGGACTCTTAATCTGCACCAGACATGGGGTCTCTCAAAGAGAAGTGGCTGTAATCCCAGTGTCTAATTCTGGCAGGCTCTCCTGACCAAACACACACTTTGGAGGATCTTTGAGACAAGGGTTTTCAACCCTGGCGGCACTTTAGAAGCTCCCATGCCTGCACCCCAGACTAATTAACTGAGGATCTTGGCAGGTGGGGCCAGACATCAGGATTTGTAAATTTCCCCCAGGGGGTTGAGGGAGTTGGTGGGTTTCATCCCCCAACCAGAGTTGATAACTAACTGCTTTTCAAAGGCTGTGGGTTATTATCCCTCACCCACAGCTCTCTGGCTCTCTGTTGTTCCTTGCTTGCCATGTGCTGGGCCAGGGCTTTAATGGATTATCTCCTTTAATCCCACAACCAGTGCATGAGAAGGTGTTGTTCTCCCTGGTCAGAGAGTGAGACGCGGGTTCAGCATGCTCAGGACCGTCCAAGTTGCGCGCCTGTGCGTGCCTGTGCCCAGGAGGCTCGTGCAAGTAATCTGCAGGTACACAGTGATTCCCTTCTCCTCCGTGTGTATGCTAAGTCAACACTAAAATAAATAGGTGTCTGTCGGTTTGAAAATTTCTAAATAGTGCTTCATGACCGCACAAAGTTTCTGATTGGATTTTTTCTTTATGTTACCCTTTTAATTCATTTAATTATGTCACATATTTTATTCAATAGCTATTTATTGAGCACCTACTGTGTGCCCGGCAAGCAACAGGGACATCAGAAATCAAAGTCCTCTTCCTCTTGGAGCTTATGTTCTAACTGAGACAGATAGTAAACATGGAACCAGTGGTAATGTCAGATGGTGGTAGGGGCCTCACCGAAGGTGAACAAGGATAACAGGGTTGTGCCTAGCAGTGGGTACTGCTACTGTGCTAAGAAGGGGCACAAGACCCAAACAGTGCCATGGAGCTGCCATGTGAGATGAGAAGGAGAAGGACCATGCAAAAGGAACTTGCAGTGCAAAGGCTTCCTGCTCTGGGACAGGAGTGGGCAAAGTGCAGTAGAAAAGGGAGCTGAGAGACAGTGTGAGGACTCCTTCTGCTGTCTACTTAAGAAATGAAAGCTTAGGGGCTGGGCTTGTGGCTCAGTGGAAGAGTGCTTACCTAGCACATGTGAGGCACTGGTTTGATCCTCAGCACCACATAAAACTAAATAAATAAAGGTATTGTATCCAAGTACAAGTAAAAAAAAATTTTTTTTAATGAAAACTTAGCATCATTAAATGACAAAAATGTTTTCTCATCATTGCTCTCACCATTGATCTTATGAGCTACAGGAATCACTTCATCTCCATTTCACAGAGGACCAATCTGAAATCCATAGATGCCGCGTGGCCCGAGAAGCCAAGCCTCTGGGCAGTTAGATTGCAAGAATTTGAGGTGCGCCACCCTTCGGAGACCCAGGCTCCAGGATTGTTCAGGACGAGTTCTTTGCATAGAGCTGGTGCACAGCAGACCCTGGTAAAGGGTGGTTACTGCAGGCCCTTCCTGCCCTGACAGTCTTTCTTAGCACGAGCCAACCAGTTGAGAGACATCGGGTCTCTGGGGTTTGGCTTTTCACATAAGCAGTTGTCACTAGTTATCAGTGTATCTCACCTTTGCTTTATGTCAGTGAAAACAGTTGTCAGGTGTCCACACATGGCAAATGAGGACCCTAATGTTTAGAGGACCTATTTATTTATTTTTTAATGTGGTGCTGAGGATCGAACCCAGTGCCTCACACATGCGAGGCAAGCGCTCTACCACTGACCCAGCCCCAGCCCCTAGAGAATCTAAATGAGCTTTTTATAGAAAATTTAAAAATTTCAACAACACTCTCTTCTCCATATCTAGAAGTGACTCACCTTTTTGTATTTTAAGATGCGTTCTATATTGTTTCCCCCAGTCCTTATTAACTGTCAGTAGATACCAGCTATATGCCTCTTCCTTTCCCTCATTCATTTCTAAAATTCATACAGCACAGTCTACCTTATCCCCCATGGAGAAACACCGTTCTCATTCATTCATATATTCATTTAGTAAATGAATTTTGAATTTCGAGGAAGGGCCCATTTCTCATTATTCAGTGACCATCATTTACCAGTGGCTAAGATCCACTCAGTGCTTGTCATTGGAGAGGCATCAAGTGATCATTTAATCTTCCCCATTTCTGATGAAGATTTCTTTGATCCTGAATCTTTTTCTTCCTTCCCCAAGACCTCACCCCATTTGCCCTCTTACATATATTAGTACATGCTATTAAAGTATAGCAGGACAAAGTGTATTTGAAAAAAATACTTGTTTCCCTGTTTAAGTAATCTAGAGAGCTAACTTCAGTCTGTGATTTTTAAAGGACAGCTTTAAATTCCCTCATATTGGCCAACGCAGTAAATACTCTGGCACTTGTGTTATTGAAAGCACAGAAACAAAACATGAGTGGATCTTTTAGCCTATGAAACTGGGGAGATGTTTAGAACTAGAACCTGGTGCTGAAGGTGAGCAAGATGAACCCTAACTGCTCGGATTGGGATGTAAACTGGCCCAAACTTTGCCTCTGGAGAGGGACCCTGGGTAGGTGCATCTGCGGCCTTAGGAGACCCATACTTCTGACCCCATGATCCTGTTGCTGTGGTCAAACATGCACGTGGAAGGTCTGCATTGCACCACTGCTCATTTGTGAAAATCTGGAAAAACCCAAGTGTTCAATAGTTTCTCAAAGTCCATAATTATACATATTTTCCAATTTTTCTATATTGTGATTATATTAGCTTTAAATTTTTTTAAATTAAGCTTTAAAAAACAAAACATAGGGAACCGAGTGGTTTGGTTTGGACAGCCTCAGGGATGAAATGGGAAGAGCAGCATGGAGCGGATGGCCGGGGCTTGGCAGTGGAGGATGTGGTGAAAAGTCTTCCAGGACTCCGGGGACCTGGAGGTGTGCACAGAGCAGTCGAGCATTTGGGTGCTTGGGGGCAGATTTTAAGTACTGGTTTGGTGCGTTGAGTTGGCATCCTCTGGGCACCAGGAGGAGCTCTCAGCATTTAGCTCTGGAGCCGGGAGAGTTCACACGCGTTCGTTCCCCTCTGTGGTAAAAACAGTGGTTAGGCATGTGCTGTATGCCAAGGGCTGCGTCAGTCCCAAAAGGATGCAAAAGGAAGGGCCTGAGGCCTGGTGGGAGAGTCTTGTAAGCAGCCATTGGAGTGGAGATCACCATATGGAGAGGGTGTGGAAGGGGAAGGCTGCGGGACAGGAATGGGACCTGAGCACCTCCTTGAAGCTCCTCAGGGTCCACAGAAACCAGCGGGGGTCTTGGCACATCAAGCAGAAGGAGAACACGGCTAGGACATGATGGGGCTCGACCGTCTTCTAGAAGAGACCCACAGGGAGGATGAGCCCTGCCATGTGACATACAGCATCCACAGGGGCAGAGGAGTCTCAGGCCTGGCTCCAGAGCTGGCCTTCACGGAGCTGACAGCATGGAGACAGTAGCAGCAGGAGGCCCAGGGCATCTACAGAGTCAAGTATAGATCCAGATTTTCCTACCTGATCAGAACTGGTCTCTGGCCAGAAAGTGGGATGCAGGGAACTGGGTCCAGTCTTCACAAGGTTTGGCAGGAGCTAGGCTGGGTCAGATGGACTCAAAGCCAAAGAAGAGGACCATTAAGAACATGAGGCAACCAGGAGGCCACAAGTTTTGCATATTTGTGCTAGCAGTTCAACAGTGAATAAAAGAAGAAAAAGAGAAAGTGGCTTCAGAATGTTATGAGACCAGAGGTTGGTAGCTTGAGGTTCTTATTTTTTAGGGTAGAGGATATCTGTACATATTTGTAGATGAAGAAGAGAGAACGTGGCTGAAGATGAGGAGAAAGAAAGAATACTAGATGAAATGAGTCCCAGACAAGGTGGGAAGTGTAGGCTCAGGGTTATGGCCACAGTGTGGCCGGGAGAGGGGATGCTCTACTAAGGAGTCCTCTCCATGCTGACAAGTCATTTAATCATTACAGAAGCACAAAGTGTGCCAGAGAAAGTTTGAAACATAGAAACATCCTGCCAAGTTGAGGCAATGGCTATTATTTCTGCACGTCTCCTTCCATAGTGATATCACCTTGTCTGTACACTTTGTGCTGATCCTGGAGTACAGTAAAAAACATGGAGTACATGTTTTTTAGATCTTACATTTCTTGCTTAACATGTCAAGCACTTTCTAGGTTGCCATGTAGTCTTCATGATTATTGAGGTCATATTCCATCGAGGAATGCAGTCATGTATCACTAGTTCCCTAGTCTTATGCATTTAAGTTGTTTTTAAAAATTGAGCTGCCTATGATCACAGTGACTGGGGAGGCTGAGGCAGGAGGATCACAAGTTCAAAGCCAGCCTCAGCAATTTAGCAAGGCCCTATGCAACTTAGTGAGACCCTGTCTCAAAATAAAAAATAAAAAGGGCTGGGGATGTTGCTCAGTGGTTAAGCACTTCTGGATTCAAGCCCTAGTTACACCCCCCATCCCCCCAAAAAAGAAAAAACTTGATAATATGACTAACAGTGTCATGGAAATGTTCATGTATGTACATATCTTGAGCAGTCTCCTTGAGCTGGACTCCCAGAGGTCACATCCCTTGGTCAAAGAATATGAGTATAATTGTCATGGCTCTTGTTTTTTAGCCTTTGAATTTGTACTTGCCTCAGAATGGCTGGCTCTCAACTTAATGACCAAAGTGATACTGACTTCTTCACTTTCCTAAATTGGGAAGGTCTCTGCCCAGTGTGATAGCATATGCAGTTCAGGTTAGGGTTTGGGCCTGGAATGTTCCCTAGAGTCTCATGTTGAAATGCAACAGTGTACAGAGGTAGGGCTTTGGGAAGTGGTTGGATCATGAGGGCTCTGACCTCATCAGTGGATTGATCCCTTGATGACTGAATGGACTACTGGGAGGTGGAACCTTCTTGGAGGAAGTAGGTCACTGGAAGGGGTTATCTTTTCTCTTGCTCTTTCCTCTTTGCTTCCCAGCTTCCACAAGTCAAGCAGCTTTCCTCCACCAACCCTTCCACCATGATGTTCTGCCCCACTTCAGGCCCAGAGCAGTGGAGCCATCAGACCCTGGGTTGAAACTTCTGAGTCATGAGCCAAAGTAACTCCTTCCTCCTCTAAGTTGTTCTTACCAGATATGTTGGTCACAGCAACAAAAAGCTGAGTAACACAAGGACATCATTACTTTCCCGGAATCTTCCCAGTCAGTGATCTCTAAGTAGCCCTTAAAACCCAAATCCAAAGGACTCATGAGTCAGTGTGACAGAATTTCAGTTGCTTGGTGTGCCATGTTGTGTAGTCACTGCTTAGTACTTTATCATAGATGACTTGGCAGCATCTCTTGCCCACCGACTTCCTCCCACTCACGAGCCTGGTGGTGAAACGAGGTGGAGGACTAGATGTGAGAGGCTACCCTCCCTCCCTCTGCAGGGGGCGTGCTCTCATGGGGAGGCCCAGCTCTCCTCTGCCTGTTCAACTCACTGCACATGCCCCAGGCACTTGGCTCCCCTTCAAAGGGAGCCCCTTGGTGAAGAAAAGATAGATAAAGGAAGGGATGATAAGGTGGCCATAAATCTGAAGTCTGTTTCTGGCACTCTCAGTTACCCTTGTTTTCAAATATGCATATGGAGTGGATATTCCAGTTTTCATTTTTTAAAGAACTGTTCAATCCATCACAACCTGACACTCTGTGTTTCTGTTAAGAAGCTTTGAGGGCAAGGGTGGAGGTACTCACAGTGTAGGTGGGTTCCAGTGGGGACTGGACTAGTGCTCTGCCCTTGAGAGCCCCTACTCCTTGGGAGCCCTTATTCTGGCCAGTGGTCCCACAGTTGGGCGTTGGGACAGAAAGGGAGACTGACTTTATAAAATCTTACAACTGCTTCCAGTAAAACAATTTGTCTTTGGCTGTGATGAAGAACACTGTTGTTGAACACTGAGAAATGAGTGTTCTGAACTATTTCTAAGAAAAAGCTATGTGCTCTGATTGATGCTTTCGACAGGTCAGCAGAAAATGAAGGTGATGAGAAACGAGTGTGAAGGTCAGGCCTCCCATGTAACTCTGTTTCTTCCTGCAGGTGTTACTAAGGACCAGTCCTGTAGGGAAGACTGCACTTGCTCTTCCTGCTCGCTCCGGGCCCCCACCATCAGTGACTTGCTCAATGATCAGGACTTGCTAGATGTGATCAGGATAAAGCTGGATCCATGTCACCCAACGGTGAAGAACTGGAGGAATTTTGCAAGCAAATGGGGCATGTCCTATGATGAACTGTGCTTCCTGGAGCAGAGGCCCCAGAGCCCCACCCTGGAGTTCCTGTTCCGCAACAGCCAGAGGACAGTAGGCCAGCTGATGGAGCTGTGCAGGCTCTATCACAGGGCCGACGTGGAGAAGGTGCTTCGCAGGTGGGTGGATGAGGAATGGCCCCGGCGGGGGCGTGCAGACCACCCTGCACACTTCTAGTGCTCCTCTGCACGCTGGGACATCCGTGGGTCACGAAGAATGTGAGCCTGTTCTTTAAGAGCTTGGATGAGGACACGGAACAGTGGACACTGGTTTTCCCCCACGCTGGTGGTTCTGTGGAGGGGTAGGCTATGTTTTGGTGGCAGATCTTTCTTTCTTTTTGCACATCTATTTTAATTTAATATTTGAATCTGGACTTGAGAAAGAATATTTTGTAGGCTCACATAGGGGTCAGAATGGGTTCATGACATGATGAAAATAAAACGTTCCTCTCTGTGAATACTGCTGAAGATTTCAGTCCCAGACCCAGCAGTCTGGACGCGCACAGGTGAGCCGGGGCACTCAAAGCTCAGAGGAAGAAGCAACGGGATGTTACCTCATCTGTCCATTCATTACTGTTTGGGTTATAAAGTGCTTAGGTAATGAACAGATGCGGTAGCATGTGGTCCTATGCTACTGTCATTTTTATCCAAGCATTTTTATGATATGTGGACTATCGATAATGTCATTTACTTTGGTATTTTTAAAAGAAGCACACAAACTGATGATTACTGGGAGGGCAGAGTGAGAAATTCATGCGTTTGTAAGTACCACAGGAATGGTATTTGAAAATGAATTATACTCAAAATGCCCTTTTGTTACCTATGACCTTTATAAAATTAATATTGACTTCATCTTCTTTTACATAAGTCTGAATACTTCATCCCTGAGATGAAACTTAATTAATCAATAAATAAAAATCACCGGGCTCACTGGCGATGCTCCCCGCTGAGCCTCGCCAACACTCACAGGATGACCAAGAGGGGCACCCTGAGGCCTGCCAGGAGGGAGGGCAGGTTGAAAACCAACCTTAAACCAGAAGAAAATTTGGCTCAAAGGATATTCAGTGACCTTATTTGATCATCTGGGGAAAGGGCAAATGTGGGGACAAAAGGGGTTGTAATGGGAGAGGTCAGATTTTCTAGATTTGAGGGGAAAGAGAGAACAAGGCAAAGACTTGGTTTGGTTGGCAGGCCCATGGCAGTGCTGTTTGGTTCTCTGGAAGTTAAGCACTCTGTTCAGTTTAGTCCCTGATAAAATAAGTGAGGTAAATAAGACTGATAAAGTACCACAGAAAGATTGGGATTAACTCAGCAGAAAGTTCTGAACCACTATTTATTTTCACTAATAATTATGGTGGTTTTTGTTAGGTTGCTAATATGCAGAGTCAGCTGTCCCCTAAATGTAAACTCTAAGTAGCAAAATCTACTAGAGACTGACTCATCCCTTCTGATTCAGTGCTGATTACACCATGCTCATTTCCCTGGTGAGATTTACAGATAAATGTCACTTATCACTAGATGTAGTTAAGTAACAGCCAGTAATAAAACAGATTTTAAAAAAATAGAATCTCTGGTAAATTGGTGGTTGATGAGGTGCTTTTAAAATGGGTACTGTTGGCCAGGATCCTGGCTCTGTACAGAACTAGTTAGGGGGAGTTCTGATCTTCCGGGAATCTGATTTGATGTATGAGTACGTTCTTGCTGAGCTACCTATGACAAGCTCTTACATCGTAGCTGTGGGAAAACGTGTTACTCATTTTTGGCATTGGGGGAAAATGGAACTAAAGAGGTTGGGATTATTTCGCATTGTGAGGCACCAACTCCCCACATTTCAGTGGGCAGTCATCTCTCCTTGTGTCCTGCCACTCTGGATGTAAGGGGTAGCTCCCAGACCAGGAAATGCCCTGCCTGCCCTGCCTGGCCAATGCCTCCAGGAAGCTCTTCCTCACTCCATCTCCCAGCCAACTGGTCCCCTCAGCCCAACTATGGCCAGCACAGTCTGGCCATCACAGAGGCAGTGGTGAGGGGCGGGAGAGGAGGCCGGAGGGAAAACCTGCCCTGTTCCCTTTTCTCCTTCACCTCAGGGCCTCCCCCATGCAGACAGAACAGGAGGAGCAGATGAGACACAGGACAGCTGGGTGGCGGGGCGACCGGGAAGGTTGGCCTTACTCCTTACCCTTCCGCCCGGGATGGACGAGGGCAGAGTGCAGCAGAGGGAAGGATGACACGGTGCCATCCACCCTGCCTCCTTCCTGCTGCTCCAGGCCTTCCTGGGCCTCACCCTGGTCCCCAGCTCCTCTGAAGCCCCAACCACTTGAAGCCACAGGATTACACGTGGTGGTTTGGAACAGCAGCTAAAGAGGTGGACTCCCCACCCCTCCCACAGGGCCTTGGCAACAAAAATAATATTCAGCCTCAAGTCCAGTCCCCAATCTGACCTTAAACTGACTTGCCATTTTACATCTCAAACACAGCTACTGTCTGTGTCGGCTGAACTTGCCCTTCTTGTTCAAGCAAGACACAGCACTCAGACCAACCAGACTTGATGGTGGAGTCTGCACCTTTGTGTTCAATTCCAGAGCAGAAAACCTCCTATGTCAGAAGTACAGCAGCCTCCCATCCCCACCTGGTGCCATTATGTACAGAGTTCTGGCAGCTAATAACCTCTACCCCTGGATCTATCACCACTTCACTGCCAGGGAGCTAGAAAGCTTTTAATGCCATCTTCTTTTTAAAAAATTCCTATTATAATTCCATGAGGAAGTGCCCAGGTAGAAGGGATTTTTAAAACAGGGGAATTAATATAAATTTGCTTTACCTATATCATTATTTATACATATGGACATCTGAATTGTTAACATTGACCTTGTGAGGATTTTTAATTATTAGAATCATGATGTCAGCAGAGAGAAATATAACCTAAGATTTTCTAAAGTTCTTTCAGACTCTGAGAGAAGGCAGGGTGACTTTGATCTGTGTCATGTGGGAAAGTGCCAGACACGAATTCTCAACTGAGGTGCAGGTACAAGCTGTCCGTGCAGGAATCCCAGACAACCACACTTAGAGTCGGTTTATGAAAGCACATACTGTGATCGCATAACGCCCTGACACTGCACAGGGAGTGGAAAGGGAAGAGATTGCTTTATGACCAATAGAACAGTCGTTAAAGGCCAATCCATGAACACGTCACAGCTTTGCTCTTCATTCTGTCCTAGGGATCTATGTTAAATTAACCTCACTGTAAACTAAGCTGTTTGGGATGAAGTCCTTTTGGTTTTTAGAGTAACAGGCTCGTCTTAAAACTCCCATCTGTAACATTCCATGACAAGGCTCTAGGCAATATGGGTTTTGTTTGGTTGCAGTAGCAAAGTACCACACAAAAGAGTAGGGGAAGTCACAGAGGACATCACATGCCAGGGACAGATCTACACGGGAGGCCTACATTGGAGGAAAAAGACCAAATGGGGCACATGGTATTTAAAACAGTAAGGTTTTAAATTGTTAGGGTTTAATCTTCCCTAGGACCTCCCACCTATAAAGGCAAATGTAAGAAGGGGTCACCTATTTTTGTGACACTAATCATTATTTAATAATACAGAGAATGTGGCAATAGACAAAAGATGCTGCTCCCCCACTGGTCCTTCATAGTAAACCTTTGTGGCACTGCCCTCTGCTGGAGTACAAAATCTACACCCGCCTCTTCCAGATGCCAGCTCCCACCAACCTTGGGCCTGGGTTTGGGCCATGTTAGGCGCCTTACAGGCAGTCTTGCTGAAGAGGAAGACTGCAGTTGCTTTACTGCTTGGCAGACAGGCAGAACAAGGGCAGCATGACTGTGATGGGTTCCTGTCCCCTGGACTTGCCCAGCACTGTACACCCTGCCATTCAGGGCTGTGTTCAGCTCAGTGCGATCCTGTGCCCTGGGAATGACTGTGAGCGCTCAGAAGGGCCTTCCCTCTGTGCAGACAGACGGTCAGTTGCTTGTGGATGTTGGGTCTCTCTCCTTTTCACGTTAGCACCCGAGTGGGGGGGCTGTGATGCCAAGTGGCAAAGGGTCTGCCTCTCTGGAGCAGGAGTCTCACCCCTTCCTCCATGACACGTTCAACAAGAACACGCACAGATTTCCTCTCCTTTTCCTTTCCTTTTTAGATGCTGCTTTGGGCCTGATCATGTTGAAATTATTTTTGGCCTTTGTAACTGAAATGCACATACCCACATGAGTGGATGGAAGCAGTGACAGAGAAGCACCCCATTTGTTCTTCCATCTCCTCCTTGGGAACTCAGCAGCACCCTCCTAAACCTCATGCACTTGGTTGCACATGGCTGGGGTGGGTCTAGTCTCCCCTGGGTTTAGAGAGCATTGTGGCCAAGATACGGGGCTGTGAGCTGGTACTACTGGTCAGGAAGGACCATAGTAAAGCAGAGCCTGTCTGTTCTCTTCCTCCCCGTGGCGTGGAGGGTCATGGATCTAGGGCCGTGTCTAGACAGGGTGCATCCTAGAATCCAGCTCCACAGTTGATCTGAAGAGATCTAAGCCATCAACCATGCAACGTGAAATGAAATGACTAGGCTTGTCAGCTTGTTTGGAAATATAAGAGGACGGCTTCTTTGGTACTTCCTGAGCTAAGCTGTGCTCTTAGGTGACATCCCAGTGACCACAGTCCTCTGAAGCATGTCCTCCAAAGCTTTAAGGAAGACATTTGCAATAATGAAGGTGGTGCTTCTGAACTACCAAGTCTTGGGGAGCTTTGTTTATATATTCCTTTGTACTGTACTTCTAAAGCTGCCTACGTTCTGATCTCCTGTATGACTTTGTCTTTCTTCTAAATAAGGATTGTTATAACTATAATAATGGGTGCTACAAAATTAAAGACTGATGTCCACCACTATTTCTAACGTATGCTGTGTGTAGATTCCAACCCACTTGTTGACTCGTGTGTCCTGCTGGTCAGTCATCCATCATCTGAATACCTGGTGGGTTTCTAAAATGCTCCTGAATGCTAAGGATATAAAAATAAGCAACACGGGGCTACTCTCAAGCTAGAGACTAAGGAGAGCCACTGTATACATACAGAGACAGGACTGGAAAGATCAGGGCAAACATGGTCTAGGAGTGGGCACAACAAGGCCCAGAAGTACTGAGCTAGGAGGAGAGACAGGTAATGACCACCCAGTAAGTATCTCGGGTGCTGTCATTAGTATGAAGGGCGATTTCAGTTACCCTCTGCCTCTCCTCTGAACTGCCAGATATCCCTGTCTAATAGCAATTTCCTGTCTCCTTTTTTCCCAAGCTGAAAACAAGATCCTTCCTTCTAAACTTGTTTCTCACCAGAGTTCCTTGTCTTCCCTGCACCTACCTGCTCAAGTCACCCTTAAGACTTCCCTCTCTGGGGCTGGGGTTGTGGCTCAGTGGTAGAGCACTTGCCTAGCACATGTGAGGAACTGGGTTCCATCCTCAGCACTACATAAAAAAAGATAAATAAAAGTATTGTATCCACCTACAACTAAAATAAGAAAATAAATAAGATTTCACTCTCCTTCCATCTATTTTATCTCCTAATCACTTCTTAAATCCATTCCCTCGTCTCCAACCTTAAGGCTGCCATCATAACCCAAGCAACCATGGTTTCCCACCCTACAGTGACATCCCAGCTGGTCTCCACACAGTTGGTTGATCCTATCATCCCCACCATCAACCCACCAGTAGATTCCCATTTTGAAGATAAGATCCCAAATCATCAACATGGGTTCAAGATACCCCCTGCCTCCATCACCTGGAGCCATCTTGCTCCACTCCCCTGCAGCTCTAATGCTTCAGCCACCTTATACCTCTGGGTCCCAACGGCCAGCATTCTCTTTCCTGCTGAAGGTGTCACCAAAGGCTGCTTCTTTTGCCCAGTCCACACTCAGGTGTCCTCCTCCTGCCTCAGCTACACTCACACTGTCCTTCCCTGGCTAAGCCTGCTCCACCCCCAGCTCTCACCTTACTGCTTTCTCAGGGAAACTGCACTTGACCCCTAGACTGGGGTCTTTCTGTTACCCCTGTGATAATCATTGCTAGATTACTATCTATGGTCCCTGTTAGACTACAAATCCCAGAGCACAGGGGCCTCGTTCGCTTATTTACCTCATCTTACTTACCTCTTGCCAGCACTGAGTACCTGGCCTAGAAGAGATGCTAAATACACAGAATTAATGGAATAAATAAATAATGCCAGCAAAGCAAAACAGTTCATTACAATTTTATAGCCCCCAAGAAGAGGAAAAAATGTTACAAATAGAAAATACAAAATGAGGGGATTTGCTCACCAAACTGTGGATCCTCTGTATGGGGAATTTTTATTTCTTTTGATGAGGTCCACCCCCTTTCATTTATCTTCTGGGCTCAAGAGATCAAAGCTAAAGTGTACTGGAATTAGGTAGTGGTGGGGACACAGCATTGTGAAAATATTAAAGCCACTGAATAGATCAATTTAAAATGGTGAATTTCATGTTACATGAATTATATCCCAATTGAAAAAAACATAATTGAACAATATCGAAGCTGTTTCCACAGTGGCAAGTGAGGCAGAGACTGCAGGGGTCTGAGTGGGCAGCGGAGAGGAAGAGGGAAGGTGCGGGGAGAAGAGGCTGGTCGTGACAGCCAGAGAGGCTCTACTCCTGTGAGCCCACTGGGCAGCTGGCAGGTCCACTCCTAGTGACCCCTAACACAAACCAAAGCCCCATGGGGCCCTGTTGCTACCGCTCTCTTGTTGGCTTTCCTTGGGGCTAAAGACCCTGTTCCTGCTTGAGGGTCCAGCCCTCCATCCAACCACCTCCACCTGTGGCTGACAACTCCTCCTTCCCAGGACAGGAACACAGGCTGAAGAGTTCCAGGTGGCTGAGGCTGGAGCACTTGGACTGGTGCAAGTCATGGAATGTCACTATATTATTTGATGTGGGCTCATACAAAACAACAAAAGGAAAACAACTGGACCACACAGAGGGGAGAGTAAATCAAAGACACAAGTTAAATTATCTTTAAAACATGGGACCCAAAGTTCCTAAATTTCATGATGTGTGACAGTCACCAACTGTCCTTTTTCTTTTCCTTCACGACCATGCCTCTGGAAAGAGCTGTTTGCTCTTCCCATCTCCAAATCTTCCCTTCCCCCACTCTTCCCTTCCCATAGTGTTCTGTGACAGGGGAAGTGTCTGGCAGAGAAGCACAAGGCCCTTCTCCCACCCCCAGCCCTGTCCTGTGTGGAGAAGAGCTCAGCTTGCTCCGTGTGGTTCCTAGTGTCCATGAGTAACAGAATAGCATGACAGAGGGCACCATGGGTCCAAGGAGCCCGTGAGATGGAATGCAAGCCAGGGCCACTGCTCAGTGGCTCTGGGCATATCAAGGCAATGGGAGTGTCTTCCCTCAGAAGTCACTCACACAGACCATGCAGAAGAGCATATTCTGAGAAAAGGAACCAAGACAAACTATTCAGGAAGCAAGACAGATTCACTGGAAAGAAGTAGGATTTTAAATAGTATAGTGGATGCTTCTAGAATCTTCCCCCAATGAATACCCCAAGCTTTGAGAATCCCTCCAAAAAATAACATACCTCTCTCTAAGACACTATGACTTAAAGGAAAGGAACCACATCCTCACCGTCACAGGCCACTGTGAAATTCTAGGGCACTGATTGCTCAGGTGGCCACCAGCAGAGCAGGATTAGGAATGGCAGAGTGGGGAAGAGCCACGGCCACATGGCTGGAGAATGGTCAACCATGCCCAGCGGAAAGTACCTCACCCAGAGAAGCCTGAGAATCCTGTGGGCGAGATGCCGGGGCAATCCTGCAAAGACTCCCAGGAAACCACTTCTTGGGGGGGACTCAGCAGGCACTGAGGCCTTGTGTCTGTAGGTGGAAGTGATTTAAATTAAATCACCCTGCATTGGCCTGTGGGGCTCCATTATCTCCTAGTTCTTTTCTTTCTCATCTCCTTCCTAGATCCCTCTGCTTCACCTGTATCACTAAGTGACGGTGGCCTTCAATGTGGCCTTGTTTCTTCCCTGTCCTTCCACTGCTACCCAGTCTCTCTAGCTCCATTTCCACCCACATGCTGACTCTCCATCAAATAGAAGTCCCAGGTGCTTCAAATGTCTAAAATGATAGGCGTTGTTTCTTCTGAACATCTGCTTTTACCCCAGGTTACCTTCCTCTGTGCGAAGTGTCCATGCCAGTAAGAAACTGGGGATTCAAGCTTGGCATTGCACTCCTCTCCAGGACCACATCCCGTTGATCAATTCTGTGAACCCATCCTCAGCCCTGTCTACCCCAAGCAGCCCACAGCCCCATCTCTGCTTGCCTGGGCCACTGCTGTGGCGGAAACTGGTCCCTCCTCCAGCTTCCCTTTGCCTGCACCACAGCTCATCTTTCATGCACATGCTAGAATGATCCGAAATCAAAACCAAGTCAAACGTACCTGCTTAATTCCCTGATTAGTCTTCCTACCCTTCCACTACAGCCAAATAAAATAACTGTCCTTGTTGGTGAGGGAGTCTTTCCCAGGGACATAATGCGTGTTTGTCCTGAAAACATATCACAGCTTTACTCAAGCCATAGTGATGAGGTCTCACTGTCAGCCTAGTCTAACTACAGTTAAAACCTCAAGTAAAATTCTATTTAAAAACAGTTTCAAAATCCAGTCCAAGTCAAACACATTCTTGGTAACTAGCAGTAAAATTCTGTGCAGGGCCCTGACAGATTTATTTTACTTTCATTCATGAAAACAAAAAGTCCTTTTACACACTACTCGACAGAAAATACATAATGGTCGTTGTTTTACCTGTTCTTGGCAGCGACTACTTATTTGGGAACAAGCTGAGTATCCATGGAGATGATGTTTTGCTCCACGATGACACTTGAACACATAATTAGAAAGATTTCAGATAAGAGGGGGCAGATTCAGGGGCTGGAGTTGTGGCTCAGTGGTATAGAACACTTGCCTGGCATGTGTGAGGCCCTGGGTTTAATCCTCATACCTCATATAAATAAATAAATAAATAGAAATATAGATAAACAAATAAAATAAAAGATACATTTACAACTAAAATAACAATAAAAAAAGAGGGGCAGATTCACCAGGAATTCTCCAAAAGGTTAATTCATGTAACAGTTGAGGCTACAGAGCAAATGCCAGCCCCCAAGGAACCAGTCCCGAGTGACCTGTCTTCTGCCCAGGGCCCACTTTGGAGCATAGCATGGACCCCGTGTAGGGAGGCCCATGTCCATACCACATGCCCTCAGAGCTGACTCTCCCTAAAAGTGTTATACCAGGCAACTTCCAACCTACCTGGTCAGGCTTCCCCATCACAGTGAGCAAAGAGGGCCTCTTCAAAATGCCTGTCAACATGCTTGATTGCACCCAGAAGTTTTTGAGGAAGTACCAGCTTTATGTATTTTTTTAAAGTTATGAAGGCCTCCAGTCAGAGAATCCTCAAAGGAAATCTTCAAAGATGTACTTCAGGTATTTACAGTCGAGATGTTTTAATTAAAAAAAAAAAAAGGATTTCATTGGGTTGAACAAAAGCAAGAGTACTATTCTTAGCTTCACTCAATTTGGGAAACCCAAATGGTAGCTCTATCTAGCTGTTAGTTATGCTGTTTAGAGTATACTGCTAAAATCGTTAGGTAATAAACTGAGACTCACTGGTAAAATTATATTTTTTTTCATTCTTCATATTACAAATGAGAGTGACTGGCACAAGGATGAAGAAACACTTCCACAGAACTTCTAGAAATGGGAAATGCCAAGAATAGTGAAGCACAAGATCTCCCCTGACTTGGAGAATCAGTGCCCATCCCTAGAGCTGCCCTGGCCTCTCTGGCTGGGAAGGCAACCTTCTCTGCTTTATGGTTTGGGTCAGAAGCCATGTTTCCACTGCTTACAGCCCCACTGTGGTGCTTTCTTAAGTTATTTTATTTTGCAAAGACCACCTACATAAAATATGAGAAATGTCAAGCCAGGGTAAAGCTTAATTTGATGTTCTATGTCTTTGGAAGGTATTCAGCAGTACCTTCAAGATGGAAGCACTATGGCCTTACATGATTCCTGTTGTTCCACCTGATTCTCCAGGAGTTAAAGGTATCTGCAAACCAAAGGAATTTCCTTCAAAACATTTCTGGATTTTGAAAAGTAATAATAGCTCATGTTCTTCCTTGGTGTTTACCATGTTTACGTAGATTCTGTGTGTTAGCTCACTTGGTCCTCACGCTCTATAAGGCAAGCATTCTGCTTATCCCCACTTTAAGATGAGACAACTGAGGCACAGAAAGTTTAAGTCACTTGCCTAAGGTCAAATTTCTAGTAGGGGTGCAACAAGGATTCCAAACCAGTAATCTGGTGAATGTGTGTGTTTCGCCCAGAAATGACACCAGGAGGACATTCCAGGGATGCCTATAATTTCACTTCTGCTTAGCATTTTTCAAAAGCTCTGTTTCCCTCAAGTGAATTAGTAAAACCTACGTAGGAAGGAAGGAAGAAGGGAGGGCAGGAGGAAGGGAGAGAGGAGACTAGGACCTGAGTGTTTGTCTTGGCAGTGGGTAGGAGTGTGAAGTGGGCAGGAAGGATGGGCTGGATGTGTTCTGCTGAGAATTGTAGGCGGCAACACAGGTGGCAGCTGATTGAGGTCAGAAATGTGAACAGGTTCAGTCTTTGGAATTTTTTAAAATTTTATTTAAAATTTTATTTTTAGTTGTAGATGGACACAATACTTTTATTTTATTTATTTTTATGTGGTGCTGAGGATTGAACCCAGTGCCTAACACATGCTAGGAAAGCACTTCACTACTGAGCCACAACCTGAGCCTGAGTCTTTGGGTTTTGAGGAAGACACACATTATTAGTGTGATGATTATCTGGAAACACTTTTAGGGACCCTTAAATCTTGTCATGACTGTTTGATTTTTTTAGTTATATATTACATGTATTAAAAAGTTCAGATTAGATATTTATAAGACTTAGGTTATTGGAGAATTTAAAAAAAAAAAACTCTGCCTATTCATAGGACTCTACCATGAAAACTGATGTTGCAAGCTGGGTACAATGACATACACCCAGCTACTTGGAGGCCCTGAGGCAGGAGGATCACAAGTTCAAGGCCAACCTGGACAACTTAGCAAGACCCTGGCTCAAAAAATAAGAAGGTCTGGGGATATAGCTCAATGGTAAAGTGATTTCCTAGCATGTGTGAGCACTGGTTCCAATCCTCAGTTCTAAAAAAAAAAAAAAGATGTTGGAGGAACAGCACAGTGTCTTTCTTGATGTATGAAGGATTATTCTTTGTGGCCACCCCATGTAACTGGGATGACACTCTTCTGGATTATACATTACTTCTATAATGAGGATGAGCCAATACATTAAAAATACATACTGATAATGATATTATTAAAAACAAAGGAATAACTACAAAATTTCCTTTGCAACAAAAAAACAGGCCTACTGTTTCTACTCAAATAAAATAGGAAACTTTTTCAAGATTAGAAATGTCTCAAAGCTTGCTCGGGCCTCATGGGTAGAACAAGAGGCCAATTAAATATGCAATTGCAATTAAGCATCTTTGCATCAGGGGCATACTACCAAATTCCCTAAGCAAGTGGTGCATTAAAGAGGCCACAGGCTCACACTGCTTAGCTAAGGGAGGGCAGCCATGAGCCAGACAAGAATCAAGATGCAAGCTGAGCAGATCCTCAAGCCAGGAACTGAAATTTTCCTTTGGTGAAACACATTGCTACATTCTGAGGTTGGCAGAGAAGAATGGGGATGGAAGAGCAATCTAATGTCCTTTAGTGATGGAGCTGTCTGCCTGCAGGAGTGTGTAGGACAGAGCCAGTTGTTCTGATGGTCTTGATGGAGTTCCTGGCAGAGTGCTCAGCTGGCCAGTCAGGAATTCTAAGCTAAGTGGCCAGAAATGACCTGAAACATTGGACTTGACATCCTCCTGAACAGATGGACTAGAGTATGGGTCTTATGTGACAGAGTATAGTAGTCCCCCTCATCTCCAGGGACACATTCCAAGACCCCCAGGGATACCTGAAACTATGGAAAGTACCAAACCCTATGCATGCTTTTTGCTATATGTACCTATGACAAGGTTTAATTAATAAATTTGGCACAATAAGAGATTAACAATAATAATAAAAGAGAACAAGTATAATAATAGGCAGTAATAAATGTTATGTGAATGTTGTTTCTCTCTCAAAATATCTTCATGTACTATACTCACCATTCTTCTGGGATGATATGAGATGATAAATTGCCTATGATGATATACAGCAAGGCAAATGAAACAGGGCATTGTAACATAGCATGAGACTGCTAGGTGAACACAAGCACTGCAGTACCATGAGAGTTGATCTGACAACCAGGATGGCTATTAGGAGACTAGCAGACAGGTAGCATGTACAGCATGGGCAAAGCTACACCTTCATGTATCCACAATGAAGATTAATCAGATGGTTAATCAGATCCTTCACATACTAGGCAGGGTCAAGTGAGACTCTGTAAGAATGTTCTAGCATAAATGGACATTATTCTTTTTTTTTCTTTAAATATTTTTTTAGTTGTAGGTGGACACAATTCCTTTTTATTTTATTTTTTTTATTTATGTGGTGCTGAGGATCAAACCCAGGGCCTCACACATGTGAGACGAGCGTTCTATTACTGAGCCCAGCCTCAGCCCCTGGACATTATTTTTATTAAAAAATCCCAAATTAAAAATTTCATCTAAAAACTCCAAAATACAAATTATCCCTAAAGGCCTAAGATCTCAAGCACATTGGTCTCAACTTTATAGCTCATATTCCCAGGTGGAATTGAGATAGTACATGTATTTGAAGTATTACAGGCATCTGAACACATCTTTTAAAACAACGGGAAGAGGGATAGTGGTCTCAAGTTCCAAGTCCTGGTGCTAAATCATCTGGCTGGTTTCTGTTTCCCAAATCATTGGGGTTCATCTTTTTAAAGCAACATATTTCTTCCCCACTGGGCAGTAGAGTGGGGTCATCCCAGCAAGATGAATGTGTGCTTATGGAATGGAGCCTATGGAGGTGGCTGGGGGAGCTCAGATTCTTCCCTCCACTCCCCCACTATGATACAAGGGAAATATCTCGTTAAATCCAGTACTCAGGGTTGGGGTTGTAGCTCAGTGGCAGAGCGCTTGCTCCACATGTGAGGCACTGGGTTTGATTCTCAGCACCACATAGAAATAAATAAATAAAATAAAAGGATTGTGTCCATCTACAACTTGAAAAAAAAATTCAGCACTCACTTGTCCTAAAACAGAAAAACCCTACTGCCTGGCCCAGGCCTCTAACACTGGGGTAAGTGTCCTCTTTGAATGCAGCAGCCGGATGCCTTGATATGCCCAGTCTCTCAGCTTCATCTTTCTCTCCTGCTGGAGAAGTCTGCTCTACCCTCAGGGACTGTGTGGTAAACTCTTTATGTCTTTTCTCCTTGTAACTTACTGGCAGAAACAAACAGGAAGAAAGCAAGTGAGAACTGGGAGTTGTTGGAGTTTTAAGGTTCATTGCTTTACTTCTTCAAAATATTTAGTTTCTAAATGAATCCAGTTCTAAATTCCTGAACTTGCATCCTTGCACAGTTCTGTTCCCCAATCAGGGGTTCATCCTTGAAAAACCTCAAGGGGCTGGCTGCCTCAATGGTTGCTCTGTCACACGCACAGTCTTGAATTATCTGGCCATTAAGAGGAGCTAAACTAATACACTAACTGCCTTAAGTACCAAAGGTCAAATTGGACTTATAAATCCACCCTACACAAAACACTGCCATGTTTCCAGAAACAGCCTGGCTTTCTGATCACCCTGGCCATGGTCTCTTCTCCTAGGAGGTCCAGTGTTAGCGTCTACTTGGAAATTTCCACCAGGAAGGCAGCTCTGAGGATGAAGCTTTGATGGGCAGAGTTTCGACAATACTGACATATTGAGTGGTCCAGTTCTACATGTGATATCTTAGTACACCTCTGTCCTGCATGCCCACAAAATGTGTGCCTAATACGTGTTCAATGATAGAAAGAAAAACAGGAAGAGGGCTGCTGGTCTCAAATTCCAAGCCCTGGTGCTAAATCATCTGGGTGGTTTTGTTTTTGTTTTCTACAATCTATTCTCCTAAAATCTCCATCCTCCAGAGTCCCACAGAGCCTCCTGCAACAGCTGGATCACAATCTGACCTGGGTCACCAACAGCTTTCCACACTATATTAATCGTTTTCTGACAAATTTGTTCCATAGATGAAGAAGGTGATGATATACGGATCACATGTGAGATACAGGGCTCCTGAGTATTTATGGTTGTTTTTGCCTCATCATGAGGACTCAGAAGTTCATTTCGGATACCAGGAAGCACTTACACAACCCTGAAAACTGTCCCTTCACCCTTTGACTATCACACGCACATTCCTCGTGATCTGTCCAGTCAGCTAAGCACCATGAGATGGGGACCAAAGTGCCAATTCTTCTCTTATATTGACTCTGCTTATCACTGGGGAATAGGTCAGTCACCCACAGGGAAAAACATCTAAAAAAAGATTGTTGAGTGTAAGAGAAACAAACATGTTTCAACCAAGTGACAATGGCTAAAATTATAGCCAAATTATAGAGGAAAAAAATGATATTACCACTAACACGAAAGGAGGTTTGGGGCAATTCTTGCCCATTCTGCAGTCACAGGCCAAATGTACTTTTCTGCAAATTAGAAAAATGTGGTTTTGGTCTGGAAGGGAAGTAGTACCAGCCTCAATGCCACATAAAGCACAGATTTGAGTTAGCTCCCAAACTCTCTTTTAGCTGGCAGCCCCAATGCATTATACACAAGCTACGACCTTGGGGCTTTGCTCTAGGGTCCAGCCAGCCAGGAAAAAATGTGGAAGAGCAGCTGCTGTTCTGGGTAATTACCTCAAACCCTTCCCAACCTGCCCCAAACCTGCTCTTAGCATTATTGCCACATTCATTCCTGTCTCTCATTCTCTCTCTTGGTACTAGGAATTGAACCCAGGGATATTTAGCCACTGACCTATATCCTCAGCCCTTCTTAGTTTTTGAGATAGAGTCTCATTAAGTTGTTTAGGGTCTAAGTTGCTGAGGCTGGCCTCAAACTTGAGATCCTCCTGCCTCAGCTTCCCAAGTAGCTAGAATTACAGACAGATCACCATTTCCACTCCTGGATGGAAGCTTCCATATCTTCTCTTGGCTCCTATTCAAATCTCCCCAGGTTTCCTTCCTGGATCCTCCTTGTCTTTGGCTTTCTGTGTGGTTCCTGATCCCATGCATGCCCTTGATTCTAGTCCCTGTCATCTCTGAGTTTTCCCATCAGTCTCTTGGCCCTCACTACCACCATAGTATCCTGGCGATCACAATGGGCAAAGGTGAAACTTATGCAGTTGAGGGGAGAAATAAAGAATGTTCACGCGCTTCTGCCCTACATGCTTTATTCATTCAAATCACTCAATACAATTCACTCAATAGGTTCTTAATCAAGAAGTGACAACCCTTAATGCTGGGCACTACAACAGACATAATCAATTCAAAGCAAACAATTCTAAGTTAACTCCAGGCACTGCAGACACACTTAATCAGGACAGACTCATGACAGACATTCCCTCTGTGTGCTAAGCTCAAGTGCCAGATCTAAAGCCTTAAGCCTTAGGCCTTAAGTCCAGCAGATGCACACTCACTCAGACCACAGCGATCAGGTCAGCAACCGGTGGAGGCTTCTTCTGGAGTAGGGTTGATGGCTGTCAAGGAGATGTAAGGAGAGGTTGCTGTTCTCAACAGGGTCAAGAGGCTGCCGTAGAGCTTGAGAGTGGTGAGGAAGTGAAGAGGATCAGGAAGATGATGAGAAGAATTGGGATGTTAGTTCAGGTCCTCATCAGGCTCTCCAGCAAGTGTGCATCAGTGTCAGCTGGCTGAATGTCTGTCCTTTTGCTCTATTATTTATACTAATTTTTGGAGCTTCTGCTTGCCCTTTGGGTCCCTATCAGCTGTTACCAGGTTTCTTAGTGACGTTTTACATTTTAGAGCCAAGCCATATGGTTTGGTGGCTTCTGCCCTGATTTTACACTCTTGACTCTTATCAGGGTTAAGGCAAGTGAGTGACATGTTTATACTAAGTGGCTTCACTCTGACTCTTGTCAGCATTGTGGAAAGTGACTTGTTTATAAGGCTATGCCTGATGGCATATTGGAGGGCTCTGTAAGCTTGTGCCTGGGGAGACTGCAGGTTTTTAAAAATGGAGTTGCTTAGGCTAAGGCCTAAGGCCGTCCTTATACTGGGCCTCCCCCTAAGCTAGAGCAAGAAGGGGATTTAAATGAACTCTCAAAAAGTGCTTGGACTCATACCCAGTCCTCCCGTCCTCTCTTCTCCCATTCTGGGCCAAGAAGTGGGCAGTTCTTCTCCACTACGTGCTCCTGCTATGATGTGTTCCTCGCCACAGCCTTGAAAGCAGAAGGGCCAGCCCAGGACTGAAACCTCCAAAACTGTGAGCTAAAATAAACTTTAAGTTGATCTATCTTAGGCATTTGTTACAGTAACAGAAAGCTGACTAACACAATTAACTTTTTTGGTGGAGGCTGGGAGAACCAAATCCTTCTGAAAGTCCCTAAGTAAAGGAAAAGAATCAAGCACTTACTCTGCTGTTCTGGAATAAACTTCATATTGGGGTCACCAAAGAGTTGATGAAAGTAGCAGTATTTCCTTACAGAAGAGTTATAGAAGAATGAGTTTAGGAGGAATGCTAGAATTGAGATACTATTATCTTTCAGTTCCCAGTGAAATAATGGATCTAGGTAATGACCATCAATAGCTAGGTACTAAAATCACCTGAGCAAAAACCAATGGGAACATTGTAATAGTTGTTGGATCAATCTAATGATATCCAAAACCACTGATCAGTTCTGATCTAAAGAGAGAGAGAGAAAGAGAGAGAGAGAGAGAGAAACAATCAAACATTTTGCACGTACTGGTCAGGCACATTGCAAAGAAGTATAAAAAAAATCACCCAAGCAGTCTTCGGGCCCAAACACTGAAATTGGTGTCTTGATAAGCCTTCAAGTTTTAACAAATGGTACTGAAGTTTTTGTGGACAAAATGAAGCGTGAGATGTGCTTCAAAATGAGCCAGTGGTGGACAGGAAGTGGGTGAGGTATGTGTGAGACAAGACTGCTGTGTTGAGAGTTGCTGGAGCTGGACAGTGAGAGCATGGGGATCACCACACATATGTACTTCTAGGTAGGCTTTAAAGTGATTAAACAAGTACTCAGACTCAGTAAGTTTTTTTTTTTTTTTTCTATTTGAAAAACCACCTCAATTTCTTCCTTGATTCAACTTCTCACAGAAAACTTACTATTAAGGTTCCAGTTATCACTTTGACAAAGAGCTGTGTAAACACAGCCTGAAGTGGACTAGTTATGTGAAGGAGGGTTGGTTAAAACTGAGATTGGGCTGCCAAGGGAACACTTGCAGTGAACCTCAGCAACTTCACAGGAAGGGAACAGAGATAACAGTGAGTGCTCACAGTCCCCAACCTTTCTTTTGCACTTCATTAAATATACCTATGTGTAACCATTGTACTGCCCCTAACTAGATTTTAAGCTCCAGGAGATCTAATTGTTTTTAACTTACTGTTATTTCCAGGGCTTACATTTATTGAATCTGTATAGAACATATATGTATGTACATTATTGTATATATTTTACATTCTACCTATAAACACATATACTGCATGTTTAGCATTGTTTTGCCTTTGAAATCTAAGTCATTTCAGATACACTTTCTCCTGTTAAATAGCTGAGATAGTATTAGCATACAATAGTCTACAAGCCATATAAGAGTACTGAAAAAACAGGAGAGCACCTCATCCTTGAATCATTGACACAAGTCAATTTACACTCCCCATAAGATTTCTCCCATCACTAAGATTCTTTTATTTTATGACAAAATCATTAGTTCTAGAAGGTTGTTTCTTGCACCTGAGAAGATTAGATTTGGGACATGATCCTATAGAACTTAAGAGGTAAGCTTGGTGAATTCAAACACAGGGAGTTTGGGAGGGGAGAAAGGAGTTCAGTGCTCCTGGGTGTGGGAGATACTAGGTCCAGCAAGAGGAGTTCAAGTGTCCACTGAGACTGGGAGGATGATCAGATGAGGCAAATGGCATAAACCATAAAACTTCCCAGGGAAGTAGCCATCAGTATGAGGTGTTTGAGTGTTGTGGTTTAGTAAAGAACGAATTTCCAAAGACTTGTCATAATTTAAAACCTACCTAGTTCAAGACTATTTTTCTCATGGGAATAATTGGAAAATAGGTATGTGTTCTTAGTGCTCTGGAATCTATGCTATTATGGTAAATTTTTGCTTTAATACTACTTTCTTTAAAAAAAAATATTGTCTCAGGTTCTGGGCTTCTAAATTTAGGCCAGAATATATCAAGGCAGTTATTTAAAGTTCTTCAGTGTTTTATTGTATCTAATTTGCATTTCAAAATTATTGATTTGGTGAATATTTTTCCAGCATTGGCACCACTATTTAATAAAAGGTCAAAAAAGTTTTTAAGTTATAGGAACAACAAAAATAGCATGACAACACTATAATAAGCAAAATCACTTCCAGATGTTTCTCAGCTTGAAACACTATGGCTGATATCATTGATGAAATGTGGCAGGTGTTTAATGCTGCCAAGTAGCAAGAGCATAGAGTTTATAATTCAGAAGTCTAAAATTGTGATTTCTATAAGTTTTTAGAAAAAATGTGGGCAATATATAATTACTTTGTATTTTCTTGTACGAAAATATATCACATTATTCTAAATATGTAATATAAAATTTACTTTGAGCTATATAACCATGGCTTATTGGATAAGAGGAGAAGACAGTTGAAAACCCAGGTGTTAGTGATACAGGCCTATAATCCTAGCTACTTGGGAAGATAAGGCAGGAAGATCCCAAGCTCCAGGTCAGCCTCAGCAACACAGTGAGACCTTGTATCAAAATACAACTATAAAGAACCAGATTTGTGGCTCAGTGATAAAACACCCCTCACTCAATCCCCAGTACCAAGAAAAGAAAAAAAGAAAGAAAAGAAAAATGAGGGGGCTAGGGTTGTAGCTCAGTAGAAGAGCACTTGCCTAATATGAGTGAGACACTGGGTTTGATTCTCAGAACTGCATACAAATAAAGGTCCATCAACAACTAAAAAAATATTTAAAAGAAAAATGAGTTGATTCAACCAGAAGTGATCCTTTTATCTTTGGAGATCTCAAGGTAATTGTGGCAAATCACTTGTAACATCTACACTGTTTTGTGAGAACAACTTTTAAGCCTGTTTTTTTGGGTAAAATCATCTCAAGAATCACTCTTGTACCCATCTTCTCTCCAGCATGAATATGTCCTTGCTTCTCAATCATCACATGAGCACAGTCAATTGAGTGCTGATAAATGTTTAACATCTGGCCTCAAGGTGGGAAAATCCTAATTTGTAGCAGTTGCCTATTTCCATGATAAATACTCCCATCCTGGCCAATTTCAAGGTATCAACATGGAAAAGATGTACAAAATTGGTTCTCACAGGCCAGTAATGAATGGAGTCCAACACACCACTGAAAGTATTCCTCAGACTTCAGGTCACACCAGTTAGCAGGTCTTGCAAATATCTTAGTGGATTATGAATAGCATTTTTCTTAAGTGAAAAAGATTGTTTCACACATAACAAAAGCATTGTTTTGTGGAATTTTTTATTCTATAATTTTAATTATAAATATAATTATTATGTAGTTCTTACTGTGACTCATGAACAAAGTCAAAAAGCTACCATTGTGTATTTTTTCTCTTTAAACACAAGAAAACTAAAATCTACCCTTTACCTCAGTGATTTCTCAGTGACGTTGTTTCTTTGTTCTCGAAATAGCAAAATTTCTTGAAATATTTTTGCTCACCCTTTCTTCCACTTCTCCACCTTGCATTTCTCTTCTTCAGTCACAGGGACTGACCTCCATGTCGTTAAGCCCACTGGTCACTTTATCAACCATGACCTCAGGGCATTGGCATAACTGGCTGTTCCTCTTTTTTGTCTTATATGATGCCACTCACCACTGCCCCCTCTTAGCCACTTACTGGCATTTTCTTTTATTGGCTTTTGACTCCCCAGGGTTCTGTCTTAGGTCATTTTCTCCATGTATCTTCTCTGGTGACCTCATTCATTCCCATGACTTTCTATCATTTCCCTCATCTACCATGCTTTGGCCATGCTGGTGGTCTTTGTCTCTTGAACAGTCATTCTCAAGAGCCTTATGAACTTGGCATTAGCTTGTCCCCTCAGTGTGAAATGCTTGAGATATATTTATTTATACTGATTTTGACTTTGTAAAGGAAGTACCAAGCAGACCCAGGCAAAACTGTGAAGACATTCAACATATCAACCTAGTTTTCAGTTATCTATTTCATATAATGCATTACACTAGGCATCGGGGAATGTGTAAAACAAGTTTCTTTTCTCAACTTACAATCAAGTTGGCCAGACAGCACGCACAACACACAGAAAGACAACTACAGATCCAAGGTAGTGCATGCTGGATCTTGAAGAGTGAATCAAACTTAGGCAATGGACAGGAGGACGAGGAGAAAGAAGTAACAGTGAATCAGCATGTGAGTTTTCTTCCACGAGCCTTGTAATGAATTCTTCAGCTTAAATTAAAAATAATAAAAGCCGGGCTGGGGTTGTAGCTCAGTAAGAGCGCGATTACCTAGCATGTGTGAGGCACTGGGTTCAATCCTCAGCACTGCATAAAATAAATAAATAAAATAAAGGTATTAATAAATAATAAAAATAGCAAAAACCAGGGAAAAGAAAGCCCACAGTGGTGAGACAAATGTGGATAAAAATATCAGAAAATAACCTTGAAGCCCTTAAACGCGGTCCAGCCAGCCATTCAAAGTAGCCTGCGTGCGATTATATTTCTGATGTCAAACTGTCAGTCCCCGTGGGCCCTTGACTGAGAAGCTGGGTCTTCACAGCGCATCCAATAAGCTCTGAATGGCGCTCCATACCGTTTTAACTGTGCCCTAGGAAGCAGCCAGGCTAAGAGACGACAAAGCACGACGACCCGCAAGCAGCGGGTCCCAAGGGTCCAGGCGGCTCTTGGACAGTGCCCTGCACTGCAACCCGCCGCCGGCTGCCCCGTCCGGCGCTCTCTGTACTCTGACTCATCGCGGACGGGGAGGGGGACCCGGGAAAACCCTGGCTGGAGGCGGAAAGCGCCGCCGGAGCCTCCAGTCTCCGCGTCCGCCAGGCAGCCGGATCCGCGCGGGAATTTCGCAAACGTGCCCTTGTGCTGACCCCCTCTGCTCGTCCCACAGCAAGCCGGTCGCGGTCCCAGACCCCAGAGGCTGTGCAGGAAGCCTACTCGGGCAGCGGTCAGCAGCTGGGCCCGCCGGAAGTCCCCAGAGCCGCGAGGACGCCCGCACTTGGACACCGGCGGCGCCCGGAAATGGACGCGGACTGACTCCCCCGGCTTCCGTAGTCACCTCGGACGCCGGCTCGGAAGCCCGGACGGCGACTCGCGGCGGATAAACACCGGGTGGAGCTCCCGCTTTGGCAGCCCTGGGGTGAGTCGCTGCGCTCGCCTCGGCGGCGGCACGGAAGGTCGCGCCAGCCGAGGCGGGCCTGGGGCGTCGCTGTCCCACGCTCAGCTTCAGGGGCGGACCGGGATCCAGCACCCCGCCGCAGGCCCGCGGGGGCCGAGGGTCGTCGGGGTCACGGTGCCCCCAGTCGCCTCGCGGCCGGCGTCCTGGAGAGTGCGGGGCGGCCCCGCGGGCGGTTGAGTCACGGGCCGCGAGCCCCGGGCCGCTGGCCGCGGGTGTCGGCTCCGGGGAGCAGCCCCGGGCCAGTCCCGTGACTGGCCCCCGGGGAACTGGGCTGTGCCCGCCGCCGGCAGGTTCCCGGGGCTACACTGCCGTGCCGCCCGGTGCAGAGCTCGCCGCCTGGGGAGGAGCTCCGGTCCCGGTCGCCGGCCGGAGGATGAGAGCGGTGCCGCCGTGGTCCGCTCCTCTGGCCGTGTGCGGGGCATGGCCGCGGCCTTGCACATGCTAAGGGTGCTCCACGGAGCTAGATCCCAGCCCCAAGTTCAGTTATTTTAATAATGAATTCCACATTAGAAAATTTGCACCGAAATATTTTAGAGGTATTTCCTGCACTCAGGAACCCAAGTTTTGTACGTTGGTACGATTTTAAGAATGGGGGGTTAGTAACGATGACCTATTGTTGGTAAATATTACTAAAATAACAGTTTAAACCTGAAAGTAGTTATGAGAAAAGGTGACGTATTCTTGTTTTCCCTCTATTTTGATTTTACACAGGGCGAGTACCTCAATTTCACTCTGGGGAACCTTTAAGTGAAACGTGGTTAAAATCTTACACCTAGGAGAGACTAATCAACAATAAGTTTGAGAAGAATGATGTTGTCCTTAAACAATCTTCAGAACAGCATCTATAACCCGGTAAGGGATTTCTGTCAAATCACTTTTCCCATGGCAGGATTGAGAGCAGATGCAATTGAATAGTAATTACCCATTGGAATGAGACCAGAATAAAATTCAGCAAACATGTACCTACTGTGTGGTAGGAGTGTGGTGGGTGTTCTTGTCCCCTAGGGAGACAGAGGTATTAGTGACAATACAAAGTCATATGAGAATAGTGTCAAACAAAAAATGTGTGCAAGCACATGGAGAAATGTCAGCTTGTGGTGGTGGTGGAGGGTGGGGAGGCTCAGGCCATAAAACATCACTTTAAAAGGGAAATGGATTCTTTTCAATTTATTTTTTAATTAGAACTGTCCATAAGAAGCTAATGTCTCAGCTTTCCCCTCCACTTTTCAAATACATCTTGGTAGTTGAGAAGGGAGAATGTCAAGAGCCAGTGGTGAGACAGAGCGGGGTTAGCAGGGGCTTGTCCAGACCAGGCTGGTTCAAGAACCCCCAAATGACTGTGATTGTCAGAAGCAGCAGTGATCACTCTGGGCAGTAAAGAACTCACTTCAGTTTTTGAACTCTCTAGTTTCCACTTCTCTGAAGTTGTATTTAGGTCTGAGATAGGGCAGGTTTGTTTTTGGTAAATCCATTGGAGACTTTTGGGCAACAGAGGTGATGAGAGCCCTTGAAGTAAGTAGGCTCAATTTTTTTTTTGTTTGTTTTCAGTTGTAGTTGTAGACCTTTATTTTTGTTTTTATTTACTTTTATGGGTGCTGAGAATCTAACTCAGTGCCTCACACATGTTAGGGGAGCACTTCACCACTGAGCTACAACCCCAGCTCCATAGGCTCACGTTTTTGTTAATTATTTTGTTGCTGTACTTCTTTTCCCTTGAGTTTCAATGTCATTGAGTAGTGTGAAGTACAACCACTATATCAGACAAACTCAGTTTTAGAAGAATTAGTATTTGGTAGTAATGGGTTTAAAAAGGAAAACTTGCTGAATTTGAAACCCGTGAGACATTTAAAATGATTTTGTGCATGTTAGGGCTAAAAGCATCTCAAGGTTGTAGACCTGACATTCTGCAAAGATTAAAACTAATAATAATTATAATAACAGCTGCCTGCCAAGGGTGACTGAAGGGCATCATCTTGGCTCAAGCTGGAGAACAGAGCAGATGGCCAGGGCTTCTGCTCACCCCTACCCTTCATGCACAGACACTTTAAATGTTAGTTAGCAAACTATTTTATAGGTTAAAATCCGAGCATGTCTTGATTCTGGCACACTGGTGATTCTTGTAATTTTTGGAGTTAGCCCCATACCCGTAGAGTTGGAACAAAAATAAGTCAACTTCTGACTTGAGGAAGAGGAAAGCAGAACAGTGCTGCTTGAGACCAGAAAATGCCTTTGGGCCTGGAGACACATCATGACCTGACTCCAAGGAGAATGTTCTGGTAGATAGCTTTGTTTTTGTTTTTCTGTTTCACAGTCAATTCTCACAAAGTGGTACAAAAGGTTAGGTAGAAGAACTGAGCTGAATGGCAAGAATAATACTTTGCTGTGTCTTTAAATTTCCCCATTGTTAAGTATTCATAGCATGAAGTGCTACCTTACACTGAAATTACTCTCCCATTTGCAGTTTTTGCTCTACCAGTGGTCAAAAGACAAAAAAACTTGGCACACTAGCAAAGAGATTTTAAATTAATAAGTTAGGATATATTGTAAGCTGGACTTTAAAAATCTGTTTTTCACATGGTGGTTATTTAATTTTGTTAGTGATCAGTTCATACAATGAGGAAGTATTTATTATAGAGTCTCTTCTGTATTCTTTATTAGGCATTATGAAGACAGAACTGTATCTTTTAATTTTTATTTCATTAGTTTTAAAATTTTTGGTCTCTTTTGTACAAACTTTGTCTATAATAACTCTTCTTGGAAAGGAAAAGGTAATATTGTAACTAGCCTGTGTATTGTTTTCTTAGCATTTCTCTTTGATTTGATGATATTTTAAATATTTTCTTTCCTTTCAAATTGAGTGAAAATGTGGAAGACAGTATCTTCATTTCATATCAGAAATGCTGTCAATGAGTCTTGTCACCCCTGAACACAGGTGGTGCTGTGGCACTGGCACTGCCTCTGACTATGGATGTGACTGCTGTCCTCTTGCTAAAGTGCATACTGCATCCCTATGACTTCTTGTCACTACTTCTGACTTAATGTCTGAGCTGGGAGTTCTGCCAGACAGTGGCGTCAAGTTCATAAAAGAGGAGTTATGCTGAGGTCAAGTTCATGAGAGAGGACACTTTCCAGACACAGAAAGGGATGCTGATTTATAAACTGTAGTCTGCCTAATAATTGCATGCAGTAGGCATTGAATAAGTAGTCATCAGAAAGGCAAAGCAGGATGAATCACCTAGATGTTTTGGCAAGTAATACCGCATCTGACCACTGCTTAACCGGTGGCATTGTGTTTGATGTGATTACATCTGGTTTCTAATTTTTTGTATAAGTTAATAATGACCTGTGAAGCAGCAAAGCATCTAGCCTGGAGTTGCCTGGAAAACAGTGCCCTTCTCCCTCGTCGCAAGAGCAGGTGCCGTGGGCTCATGAGTGGGCTGCAGGGCATTTTGTCTCATGAACTTGGTCCAAAACAGTGGAATATCTTGTGGTCTTTTCCAAAGTGGGAAGCATTAACACAGACAACCACAGCAGCAAGTGGCCAAAATTCTCAAAATGGTTATTTATACTTATCAGACTAGAACAACTTATTTACATTTGCAAACAATGATGGAAATAGATTATTTGGTCTCAAAAAGCTCTTTCTAACTGTAAAATTAAGTGTATAATTAAAGATATTTTTGTGGTTATAAGAATATAAGTGCTTATTACATAATCTGGAAAATATACAAATATATAAAGAAAATTAAAATCCCATTCTCCACAAAAACTCTTACAACATTTTTGGCTTATTCTTTAGTGTTTTTGTTTTAATGTTTATACTTATTAGTTGAGATCATGGTATATATAATCTTGTAGGTGACTTTCTCATGAAAATTAAACCCAGTATGTTATTCAGCACACTTAACCAGCTGCATTCATGCATGCCTATAGTCCAAGCCACTTGGGAGTTGAGGCAGCAGGATCAGCCATGTGAGGCCACCTAGGCGACATACATAGTAAGTCACCCATCTTTAAAGGAAAAAACAAATTGCAGATATTGATCTTAACATCTGTAAAGTGTGAAGTACATTATAGAAGATGCTACTGTGTATTTTCAGAGTCAGTTGTGGCTCAGAACAGCATGGAAGTGTAATTCCTTTTGTATTCCTGTACGCAGAACCAGCCACCTACCCAGTAATGCAGCTGCAGCCGTCATCTGTGTGGTTGATGCATTTTTCTTCTGGTCTGTGGACCTCTGTCCTCTCCTCACCCTGCCTGCCGCAGCGATTGGCCATGACCCCAGTGAGATGACTGGCTTCCATAATTTCTTGTCTTATTGCTGAAGCAGTAGGAGCTTGCTGCCTTGGCTCAAAGTTCAGCATCTGCTTGATCACTTGTCTGCCAGAACCCAGTGACAAGGCTGTGAGAGATATTGATCATTTCTTGACCTTGGTCCTGGTGAGGGAAAGGTGGTGACCCAGGTCTATCCACAAGGCTCAGTGTCAAGGCAGAGCTGTGTGCCAACAAACAGACTCCAAAATGCTGTGATGGACAGGGGCAGCTCATCAGCCTGGGAACTGGGGAAAGGTTCCATGGGGAGGCCATGCTCCAGCTAAGATCTTGCACATATGAGCTACCAGTCAGCACTATGTGGCTTCTCTTGTTTTGTGTCCTGCCTCTTGATGATCAGAGCCACCTTGGGTAGGCTTAGGCATGCATGTCATCACTCAGGCCAGTGTGGCCTAAAACATGCTGACATCTGGCCTGCACATCCTTGTCAGAGGCTCCAAAGGGGAGGAAGGAGATGCAGAAGATGTAGCCATGTGACGCAGATCCCCACTCAGGGACAGGGAGTCATGTCTAGGAAAGGGGAAAGAAGGTCTGACAGTCAGGTCCCAGACAAAAAGGCTGGGGTCCAGGGCTGGTGTTGTGGCTCAGCGGTAGCGCACTTGCCTGGCATGTGAGGCACTGGGTTCGATTCTCAGCACCACGTGAAATAAATGAAGGACTATCAACAACTAAAAAAAAAAAAAAAAAAGCTGAGGTCTGGGCTAAATAGGTAGGTGCATGTCTTAAGAGACTCCCAGACTCCCAGAGCTACAAAACTGTACCATGATGACAATTAAATCAGTGAATATAAACATTAAAATAAGAGCTCATCCTTAAGATGCACAGCTCTCTGGTTCTTTGGGCTGTGATGTGAAAGTTCAGTGGAAGTCAGGGCCTGGAACCCCAGGCTCGAGGGTGTGGCTTACTTTGGAACCAGGCCAGAGGCAGTGGCTTGTTGCTGTCTCCATCAGCCTGGGCCACAGGCTTTGGGTGGTCTTAAGCCTTCTGCTAGGATCATCTATGAAGCAGTGAGGAGAAGGGTGTGTTCTAAGTTGTTCTGTTTCTTACGATTACTATATTAAGTAGAAGTTTTAATTCACAAAGCCCTCAACCAAATTAAAAGCAGTATGTTGGGGCTGGGGCTCAGTGATAGTGCACTTGCCTGGCATGTGTGAGGCACTGGATTCGATTCTCAGCACCACACATAAATAAATAAAATAAAGATCTATCAACAACTAAAAAATAAAACTAAAAAACTAAAAAATAAAAATAAAAGCAGAATGTCTTTTTTCTAAGGAACTAAGAGTAATTTGCAGATACTATGGGATCCTAGCTCTGTTGGTTGATCCCTTGTAACTGTTTGATTAGTGAAGATGGCTTGAAAGATGCTGGATTCCAAGCAATTTATATTCAGCCTTTAAAAAATGTAGTCATTCTCAAAGCACTTTGCAACATTTGACATTGAGCAAAAAATACTTTATCTTGTTAAGTGTCAGTTCTGCAAAATGGGTATAATGATGCTCCCAGACACATCTGGAAATGATAATAACTGAGAAAATAAAATTGCAAGTCCTGTAAAAAAAAAATAAAATAAAACTGTAGTATTTTTTGTCAGTCACCGGGTTTGGTTATAACTACTTGGTAAGTAATTTTGTTTATGTAAACGTATATTTGTTCAATTTTTTTCCCTTAGATGATCCCCTATGTGGGCACCATTTCTGAGCAACTGGATCCTGGATCGTTAATTGTAATCCGTGGGCATGTTCCTAGTGATGCAGACAGGTAAGATCATTGTATTAGAAGGAAAAAAACCATAAACTGTATGTTTATAATTGTAACAACAAAATATAATGTGGGAGAGACCATTTGGATACTCTGAGGCCTGATCTGCTTTCATCAACAGCTCCATTAAGGTGCTGAGGAGATGAAAATGAATAAGTGACGAAAGATTATTGGAATTTTTTATTTCATTGCTAAAAGTCTGATTTTAAAAATTGTTTTTTAGTTGTTGATGGACCTTATTTTATTCATTTATTTATATGCAGTGCTGAGAATTAAACCCAGTGCCCATACACGTGAAGCAAGTGCTCTACCACTGATCCACAACCCCAGCCCTAAAAGTTTGATTTTAATATAAGAATAAGATATATAACAAAAAAGGGAATTATTTTCAGATGCTTCAGAGGTGGTTCAGGCATAGTCTAACATTCCACAGCATCTCTTAAGACCATTTGGAGTAGCTTCAAATGGGTAAACTGAGTGCTTCGGGTGAACAGCCTGGACTGGGGTGTATCAGAGCTGGGCTCAGCTGTGTGGCTGATGCTCAAACATGATTTTATAAGGTCAGATTTCAAGCAGGTACCCGGACGTTGGCAGTCAACTCCTCAAGTCGGAAGAGAAGTGGGGTCTGGCTCTACCCTGCTGTCCCTAGGGGGAGGTCCTCTGTCTGGATTTCCTCAGCTAGAATCCCAGCCCCCATCATTGTTTTGGGCAGTTAGGTGACATGTATGAGGACAGGCAGAGCATGGAGGACAAAGGGCAAATGTCAGCTTCCCTTTAAGGCAGCTTCCAGTAGTTTATTGGCAGAGCTTTGACCATGCAGGCCAAGGGAGACCCAGCTTAGACTGAAGGGCTCTTGTTATTGAGGTGGAAGGAAAGGAAGGTGAGGCATCTAGCTTTTGTGGCACCCTGAGTGTGAAGAACAAGGGTCATGTGTCACTTGGCCTGGGTGCTTTCTGGGCTTTTCCCTTTTGCTGGCCTCCGGGCTTCATGTGGTGCCTGTTCTTTTTCACAGATTCCAGGTGGACTTACAGTGCGGCAGCAGCATAAAACCTCGAGCTGACGTAGCTTTTCACTTCAACCCTCGTTTCAAAAGGACCAACTGCATTGTTTGCAACACTCTGATAAGTGAAAAATGGGGATGGGAAGAGATCACCTATGACATGCCCTTCAAAAAGGAAAAATCGTTTGAAATTGTGATTATGGTACTGAAGGACAAATTCCAGGTGGGCTCTGGAGAAGGACAAGCAGAGTCCTAACTAGTGGGGACAAGTGTCCAGGGAGCACTTTACATTTTCAAGCTCACCATCTGCATCTTACACTCAAGAACGTGCAAGGCTCTGTACTTATCCTCTGAAGTAGGACCAGCAGGCACCTAGCTGTAATTGGGGCACAGCTACTCTCCAGCATATTGTGGCCATGTGGGGACACAGGCCCACTGTCGCTGCATCTTAGTCACATTTCCCCCAGCAGGGCTCAGTTCTGAATTGACATAGCATCACATTAAGTGTGAGAAAGTAAACTATAGCTAGCACCCCGAGTGTGAGGTCTTGCCGTAGGACAGTTATGTAGAATCATGAGGACCTGGTAAATTCTCCCTGGCTTCATGGTTTTTCTCATAACCTGAGTGTATGGTGGGAGGTAGAATTTCGTTCTGGAGCCCCTGCCCTTGCTGGCACTCAAGCCCACGGAGCTCTTGCAGACTAGAGATCGCACAACTCTACTAGGGGCCTCACATCTATGCAGGTCTGTGCAGCACCCTGGCCCATGGGTACTGCTCCCAGGGGAAAATCCTCTAACCTCCTAGACTTCCCTCTTCTCACTCTTCTTCGCCCTTTCTAGCCTCCTGTTAGGACAGCAGTCCCTGTACTATTGTTCCTGCTTTAAAGTGTTTACTTTGCTCCCTGGTGGGATTTTAAGTTCCTTGAGTCAGAGACCATCCTGTGTGCTGCTTGGGTTCTAACGTGGTCCCTGCATATGGGGGAAGGCAAGGAGAAGGAGCCAGGGGCTGGTCCTGTTTGCGACTGGCACTATGCTGAGGATTTGCAGGAGCTGCGCTGCTCTCTGCTCACATCTGTGCCCACTGAGGCTGAGGCCATGCTGGCTCCTCCTCACGGGTAGAAAGCAATCCCAGATGAGTTGGGAACTTGCTCATGTTCACTCAATACAGATTTGTGAAACTTCTGACACATGGGTGGTCTCTGTTAGAGTGGTCCCCAAAGACTGTGTGAGGGAGAAATATGGGGTAAATCGTTAACCTAGGTTCCCAGGCCCCAGGACTGGAGGGTGGGGGCCGGGTGGCTCTGAGTCCCTGCATGTCTGCTGCACCTGCCCAGGTTCACAGATGTGCATGTGCATATGTCCCTGAAAGATGTGCATGTCTGTCTGGGGAGGTGGTTCAGGGCACTTAATCAGATCAGGAACCCAGAACTTTCAGGAACTCTGCTGTGCAGAAGCTGTTTTCTGCCATAATTTGGTCAGCTCTAAGTAGAGACCTGTGGGAAAAGGCACAAAATGAAAGCCAAGGAAACATTTGGATTTGGATAATGTTAATTTATTAACTGTTTTGGGGGTGTTGTCTTCTGTGTCCCTCCAGGTGGCTGTGAATGGAAAACACATTCTGCTCTATGCCCACAGGATCAGCCCAGAGAAAATAGACACTCTGGGCATTTATGGCCAAGTGAATGTCCACTCAGTGGGCTTTAGCTTCAGCCTGGTGAGTACCTTCCATGCATAGTGTGGGCCTTTTTTTGCTGATGTTTTCATAAGGAATGGCAGAAAATATCTTTTAACACCTTCAGATGAGATAAAAATAAATAAAATAATAAATCTCTTCCTCAATTTCTTGACCAGGGCTTTATTCTAGCAAAACAACCAACCTTTTTAGCTGGAGAAGATGTATTTTCCTTTCATGGGAGCACAATGGAGTATTTTCACTTTCCTAGAAGTGGGGAGTGTCTGAGTCAGAGTATTTGCAATTTAAGTTTTGCTGTATATTGCCAACTTGCCCCGAAAGATGAAAACAGTTGGCTCTCTCAGCGGCAGTGCCATCTGCTCACATTCTTGTTGAAATCTGAGCTCATTCTCTTTAACGCTTGCCACTGAGGGAAGCCCCAGTGTCAAGTGTTCTGGGATCATTATTTTCAAGGATATTTTCATGTTTAGTATCATTTAATTTTTTGATATGTTGAATAGGTTACATTCTGATGGGATATTAACCTTTACTGTCTTTTCTTTAGGATTTACAGAATACTCAGGCATCTACTCTGGGACTGACACAGATAAGTAGAGAAAATGTAAATATGAAATATTTTTTTATATTTTAAAAAATATTTATTTATTTATTTTTTGTAGTTGGACACATACCTTTATTTTATTTATTTATTTTTATGTAGTGCTGAAGATCAAACCCAGGGCCTCACACATGCTAGGCGAGTGCTGTACCACTGAGCTTCAACCCTAGCCCCATGAAATCTTTTAATGAAACGTTTTTTTTTTTAGTTGCCATCAGGTGGAAGGAAGGCTGGGTTTTTAAAAAATACACTTTTACTATGAGGCCAGGCTGGAAGCAATCATTTAAACAGCGTGGCACATATTTCTCACAGTACTAGGAACTGATGCTTAACCTGTCAGTGTATGTGTGACTACACTGTTCTCATGTGAAACACACCTCTTGTTCTTGCTCTTGACTGGTCCTGGCATGAGGCATTTTTTTTCCTGATTTATTTTTATCACTTTATTTGTAATTTGCAAGACTGCAGCATCAACTTTTTATTTTATTTGTTCTTTTTAGTTATACATGAAAGTATAATGTATTTTCAAATATTATACATACGTGGAGTATAACTTCCCATTCTTCTGGTTGTACATGATGTACATGTATTCATATATGAACATAGGAAATTTATGTCCCATTCATTCTACTGTCTTTCCTATTCCCATTCTTCCTCCCTTCCCTTCATTCTCCTTTGTCTAATCCAAAGTACTTCTATTCTTCCCTACCTGCCCCTACTGCCCTTATTGTGAGTTAGCATCCATGTATCGGAGAGAATATTTGGCCTTTGGTTTTTTGAGATTGGCTTATTTCACTTAACATGATAGTCTCCAGTTCTATCCATTTACCGGCAAAAGCCATAATTTCATTTCTCTTTATGGATGAGTAATATTCCATTGTGTATATGTACCACATTTTCTTTATCCATTCATCTGTTGAAGGACATCTAGGCTGGTTCCATAGTTTAGCTATTGTGAATTGAGCTGCTGTAAACATACCACATCACTATAGTATGCTGATTTTAAGTCCTTTGGGTATATTTACCGAGGAGTGGGATAACTGGGTCCAATAGTGGTTCCATTCCAAGTTTTCTGAGGAATCTCCATACTGCTTTCCATAGTGGATGCAACAATTTGCAAGTCTCACCAGCAGTGTATGAGTGTACCTTTTTTCCCACATCCTACATTTATTGTTACTTGTATTATCGATAATTGCCATTCTGACTAGAGTGAGATGAAAGCTCCATAGTTTCAGTTTGACACAAGGCATTTTAAAGTATTGAACATCAAACTGTGGCACAGATCCATGTGTATGTCCTCTCCTGTGGGAACAAGTGCAATTTAAAAATTGCATCTTTGCTAGTCTTTTTTTTAATATTTATTTTTTAGTTGTAGTTGGACACAATATCTTTATTTTATTCATATATTTTTATGTGGTGCTGAGGACTGAACCCAGGGTCTCGCAGGTGCGAGGCGAGCACTCTACCGCTGAGCTACAACCCCAGCCTGCATCTGTGCTAGTCTTAATGGATAAAAGTCAGTCTGTCCCTTTTCACACATTCATATTTCACAGCACATAATTTCAGCATTTGGGTGGTACTAGGAAAGGATGTGTTTGAAGTTCACATGTAGTTATATAAAATATTATCAGTTTATGGAGGAGGATGAAGGTTCAGATGAACAGAGCTGTTGGTCTCTGTTCTAGCCATGGCACCCAGGATAAAGCACTGGCTGCCCGCCTGGGTGTCACACCCAGAGTAGAGTGGGCACTGACGGCCCAGAGCTGAGCTCAGGCTGACCAACTACATTAGACTGCTTCTATTATGGAATGTCAGTCTTTCCTTTAAACATTCTCATTTTTCTCTCTTCCAATAGGTACAAAAGTCTGGCATTTCACAGCTTGTAAGTATTTTTTTCTGGTCATTCAATGAAGAACATTTTATAAAATTGCCTCAAAAATGAATAGCTTAACCTTGAAAGGCAGCTTCCTTCTTTCCATACCTTACTGTAGACCTGTTTCCCTGCAGCCTAGTAATAGAGAAGGAGACATTTCTAAAATCGTACCCAAAACTGTCTACACCAAGAGCAGAGATCCGACTGCCAATCACACTTTGACTTCCACCAAAATACTACCTACCAACTCTTTGTCAAAGGTTTGAAGAGCCAAAAATTTTCTTACCTTTACATAAAGATTAAGTTATAATTATGTTCATCATCTCTGCCCCCCAGTAGCAGCCCAGAGCAGCTAATCATGCTTGTGTGTTGTCCCTGGACAGACACAGGCGGCACCCAGGCATGTTTCTGAGCCCTTCACCTCTGTCCTCAACTCCTTCCAGCATGGCTGCCTCCCCTTCAGGCAGAACGCACAGGGCATCAGGGCCACCCATGCCCACTCACTTGGTGGTGTAAATGTTGTCATTGGTAACATGCTGTGAGCTAGGCACAGCACTGCTGCATGGGCCCCATTAGGGACCAAAGCAGACTTGGTGTGTCCCCTCATGGGATTTCCAGGCTCTCTGAACCATGCCCCCATGGAATGTGGCCAGTTTCCTCATGAAGTCGCTTCCTGGTTTTCAATGTGGCTTCTTTTTAGACTCTGCCATTTGAAGCGAGGTTGAACTCCCCCATGGGCCCTGGACGAACTGTTGTTGTGAAAGGAGAAGTGCATGCAGACGCCAAAGGGTCAGTATGGCTGTTACAGTGAGTGGGAGTCCCTGCCAGGTGCCTGAGGCCTCATTTTCCTCATGATGATCCTCGGGGCTATAAGTGGGGCTAATGACAGACCGCATGTGAAAGACAGAATTTTTTTTTTTTTTAATATTTTTTAGTTGTTAATGGACCTTTATTTTTTTAATTTATTTTTATGTGGTGCTGAGGATAGAACCCAGTGCCTCACACATGCTAGGCAAGCGCTCTACCACTTAGCCACAACCCCAGCCCCAGACAGAATGTTAAAGCAAGAGGAGGTTAGACTGAGCCAGGACTGAAGTCCAGTATGCTGACCAAAGTCTTTTCTAGCCAGACAAAAGGATGGCATTTCTGTCTTCGAGGCCCTCCTAGAACTCCAGAGCAGCCCCAAGAGATTGGGCAGCTTTTTTAGGGCCCCCTCCTATCTTGTGACTTAGAACATTTCTGCTTTAAGAACCTTTTCCAGAGATGGCCAACTTTTTAAGAACCTTTTCCAGAGATGGCCAGATTTCTGAAAGCTTGAAATAGAACTATTTCCTAGACAGTAATATGCATTCAAGAAGAGCTCATGCAGATGACTACAACACCCACATGACCAGGCTTGCCTCCTACAGCCTGAAGCAGTCATTTACTTTTCCAGCACTGAGCCTTACGCTTCTGCCCAGCTGGATCTCAGCCTCAACACTGATGTTAAAGTTTTTTGTTATTTTCATTTTATAAGCAACATACTAGTGGAATGCTATCTCCTCAGAATTGGAAATTTACCTTTGCCTGTGTCCCCTGTCCCTGTGTTTACCAGTTGGATGTAGTCATGGTCACAGTTAAGTTGATGTTAAGATTGCAGAATCTGCCACTACTCTTGTCCTACTTGGTTAACTGTTTTCTTTTTTTGTTTGTTTCCTCTCAAAAGCTTTAATGTTGATCTAGTATCAGGAAAATCAAGGGATATCGCTCTACACTTGAACCCACGCCTGAATATTAAAGCATTTGTAAGAAATTCTTTCCTTCAGGAGGCCTGGGGAGAAGAAGAGAGAAATATTACCTGTTTCCCATTTAGTCCTGGGATGTACTTTGAGGTAAGAGTATATTTTTTGAAAATGGGATAGGAAAGCAAATCCTGCAAACTTGTCTCAGGACTTGAGTGATGAGTGTAATCTCAGGTGGACACAATGTAGGAACCCCAAAATTGCTGGTTTGCACATCTGTTGCCTGCCATCTTGGCACAGTTTTGTGTGGCAGCCCTTTCTTTCTTTCTGTATGTGTGTAAGAAAAAATACATCAGACCCTTGCAGCTAAAAGGCAAGTAGTCCTGGAGTTCCCAAATATTTCAGTACTGTGGTAACACATGCCTTGCCCGAAATAAGTTCCTGAGATGCTGAGCAGAGAATGAAGTCCTTGAATGGTGGATGCTAAGTGGCTATCTGGGCTCGCTCACTAGAATAGGCCTCACTGCTACACACTATCACACCTAGGGCCATTGATTTGGGTCCCACTTCCACATTTTAGACCATCATATGCTCTGAAGCACTGGGCTTTCAAGGACTCATCAGAACTGGTTCTTGGAAGCAGGAACATCAAGGCTGAAAACAGGAGAACAGTTTCACAAAAGGCTCACTCTCTAGTTCCAGTGTGATGAGTGCCCTTATGTGGATCAGAGAGAGATGTGGGCATACAGAAGGTTCTGTGAAGTTGTGGTTATTGAAGTCAGAAGGCTAGGAAGAATGTGGAAGGCCAGATTTAGGGCATGATTTGAACAACTCACTCCAGGTGGGAAGGGTGGCACAGGTTTGCTGAATTGGCAGGAATCAGGGCACAGAGGGTGACTTGGAATTCACAGAAGGGAGATGAAGGATCCTAGAAGGAAGATGGTCTCTGTAGCTTGTGACAGAAAACCAGTGATATAACTGGACCTATCAGGGCCCAAGTTTGGTTCTATGCTATCAAGAGAAATGAAGATAATAAGATGAAAAACTAAAGCCTGGCTGAGGGGAGTCGGACTAATGATGTGTCTTGTATCCGTCCTCAAATCATGCCAGTCACCCTCGTTTGTTTTCTGCTGTGGGAGTGGTAATTATCTCTTGACCACTGCTGGCAGTCTTCCATAGTGACTCAATTTTTGATTGCCTGAAACGTCTGATTTTTATTATGCTTTTGAGATTATCTCAGATTTGTCCACTATGTCATTTACTTTCATTTTAAACAAGCTTTTCTCGGATTCACTTATTCTTTTATTTATAGTTTTGCAGTGCTGGGATGAAACCCAGGGCCTCATGCATGGTGGGAAAGTGCTATACCACTGAGCTACACTCCCAGCCACTCCATTTAAAAAAAAAAAAAAAATATTCAGTATTGTTATTTTAAATATGTGTTCTTCACTTTTATTAAATTCATGTTCTGAACTGCTGTTCTGAACAACAGATGCTGGCAGGAGATTGTTGTTCATTTCTTCCAGGCTGGCCTCCCGTGCCCTGTGCCCCTCCTGTGTCTTGTGTTTTACAGTAGTAGTCACCCTGCTATCTCTTCCTCTCTCTCAGATTGTAGGTATTTTCCTCAGTTCTCTGTATAGCCCTAGAACTTTCATTTTGATCAGCTGTTACCCAGGCGTTTCTTCTTGCCAATTTTCTTGGCAGCCATTTGCATTACTACTGTCAAAAGAAAGACATTAACCAGACACAATAGTGCCTGTGTGTAATCCCAGTGGCTTGGGAGGCTAAGGCAGGATTGCAAATTCAGGGCCAGCCTCAGCAATTTAGCAAGGCCTTAAGCACTTCAGGAGACCCTGTCTCAGAAAGGACTGGGAATATGACTCAGCCCTGGGTTAAATCCCTAGTACCAAAAAAAGAATAAAGACCCTTAACTGGCTTCTCTGCAGGTCTTTGGCATCCAGGGATGGGTGGATTAGCAGCCAGCCTGTGCTGCTCTGTTTTCTTCTGAAGTCTCCAGGATAGCAAGGAGCACAGTGCAAGGCCACCAAAATAGCCTTTTCAGTGTGGGTAGAATCAGTGGCCACACTGGCATCAGGCATACAGGTGATGTGAAAGGACACTAGACTTTTGGGTGTGCATCTCATTGTTTAGGTAAAGCACTCCAAAGTGCTACTCCTAGTGATGAAACTGCCAGAATGGTATTACTCCAGAGGTACGGGGTATTCAGACACACTGAAGCCGAGTTGTGCAAAGCTGAAATGGCCTCAGGACCACCCACCAAGGTCCTGAGTTAGTAATGCCTCAAGCTTCTGAAATCACCTATTAATGTCTGACTTGCCCAAGACCCTACAGTTTGAGGCAGGAAAGAACTCAAGGCTCTTAGTCCCCAGCCTGTAAGTTGGAAAGCCTCTCAATGAGTAAGGGTAAAGATACAAGCAGCTTCCCTCCTTCATCAGTTCCTAAACACTGAGATGAGGGGCAACTTTCTGTTTTTGCGGAGCAAGGGGCAGGATGGGGGCTTTAGGAGGGGTGAGCAGAGGAAAGGAAGGTCAGTAGGCCCTGGGGATCCACATGGAGAATCTGAGCATATGAAAGTTCCTTTCTGGTATGATGAGAAGTGCCACTCCCATATCCTGGTTGATTTGGGTGCTAGAAATGACAGCAGGGAAGTGAGCAGCAGCAGGTTGGGAGAACCACTCTAGACAGAAAGTAAACCAGATGGTTTTCCTTTGACTCTCTATTAGTGTGTGACAGACAAACTCAGGGAGGCCACTAATGGTGTGTTTCCTTTCCTTTCAGATGATAATTTATTGTGATGTTAGAGAATTCAAGGTTGCAGTAAATGGCGTGCACAGCCTGGAGTACAAGCACAGATTTAAAGAGCTTGGCCGCATCGACATGCTGGCCATTGATGGTGATATTCGCTTACTGGAAGTAAGGAGCTGGTAGCTGCCGCCACTGCTACAAAACCCAAAATACAAATGGCTTATGTGATTCTGGCCATGTCAAACACATCTGGCTGTCCCTGCAGTTTCTGTTGTTAAGTTGAGCTTGCACAGCACTAAGTCCTCCTGGATGTTCTCAGTCTTTGCCATGCTTTGTGGCTCCCTAGCACCAGAGGAGGAAACTGGGGCAACAGCAACTTGTAACAGTAGGGTGGCTCTGTTCTCTGCCCCTGGACTCCTCTTAAAACCACACTCAAGTATTTATTAAGTGCCTACTATACTACATCTGCTGATAGGTACTGAGCATATCTTTTCTGTCATCAGTGTGTTAGTAGCTGGGACATGTGCATGGTGGGCGCAGGACCTGCCTTCAGCCATGTGCAGTCTTCTGAGGACACTATGTACACCCATCAGAGGTCCTTCAGGGCTAAGAGCTATGCTCCTGTAAAACACTAGTTTACAGAAGCCACTACCCCTCCCCAGCAGTGGCTTCCAGTCAGTCCTGTCTTAGTCCATGATTGTGGACAGATGCTAACTTTCATCTGGCAATTGATTTTGAGCTTAATGAACACCTAGCTGTCCTTGCTAAAGAAAGCTTTTCCAAATAATCGTTATGACATCTGAATGCAAAAAAAAAGCAAAAAAAAGTCAAAGCAAAACAAAAAACAAATGATGCCGACTTTAGCTTGACGCCAGACTTCAGGTAGTCCACCTGTCTCTTGTCAAGAGCCAGAGTGCGCCTGTGGCAAGTCAGGTACATGAGGACTGTAAAATACCTGTGGGAGGCAGTGAAGGCGAGATGAGACCCAGGGTATTTATAAAACAGGCATTCCCAGAAGGCAGAATCTACCTGTGAGAGACCAATGAATTAGGTAAAGGGAACATAAAAATGTTGTGTTGGCGTGCAAACCTGCACTCACCTTTGCTCTTCTAAAGATTAGTCCATCATTAGCAACTGAGATCAAAACCTTGTTCTGCTTCAGTGATTAAAATCAAACCTGTGTCAGCAAGTTCAACTGTTGCCTTTCTGTAGTTTTTCCATCATTTGAAGGGAGTTGGCAGAAGTTCTATGTAGAATCTTTACAGGTCAGATCTTGTTAGAGGAGATTTCAAAGTTTTGTGTGTAGAGAAGAAAAAAGCTAAAATCAGTCATCATTTTATCATGTTAAACTGCTAGGCAGAATTCTTCCAGGGTTCAGATATATTTTCATAACAGTTAGATATCATTTATAGCCACATATTAAAAAAGAATATCAATTTTTTGTTTATTTAAGAAAAGTAGTGCTGAGTCTTGCCAAACTCAAGAAGACTTTGGGGGGGGGGGCAGGGAAAGTTGCAAAGTAGGCTAGAAGGCTCTAGAATCCCCCAGGGTTATAGGGTTCTTTCTTTCCATGAAGACATCAGAGTGTATATGACAGAGATGTTAGACTGAAAGGCACTTAGGAGGAAAAAGAAGCCCACTCCTATTGTCCTCAGTGAGTCTTAAAAAGTTCATTTTCATTTTACATGGAACTAGTAAGACTGACTTTTTTGATAAAAGAAATCCAAAACCGTAAGATTTTTTTTAAAAAAAGCATTGGTGTTTACTAATGAACCTTATCAAGACACCAGGACATTGCTTAGGGGAATCTGCATTTCTAGCAAGCTCCTCACTGAGCTCAAAGTTGGCCTTGTGCTTGTCAGTTCTGCACTGAAATTTCTTGATTAGATTAGACAGAGCTGGGCACGGTAGTACACACTGTAACCCACCACTCAAGAGGCTGAGGCAGGAGGATCACAAGTTCAGAGAGCTTTGCAAGATTGTCTCAAAATTGAAAACAAAAACAAATGGGCTGGGGGTGTGGTCCAGTGGTTAAGTGCCTCTGGGTTCAATCCCTGGTACCAAATTAAGAAAAAAAAAAAAAAAGAAATTTAAATCAAAGACTTTCGCTCAATGTGAACATTCTATGGAACAGTTCGTTGATGTTTTATAAACAGAAGGCAGATTTGTTTGATTTTAGCTCAGTGTTTACCTTCCAGCTTCACCATGACACAGCACTAGAGACAGCAAACTTCAAAGCCTGGAAAAAATGTGCTGCTGTTTTCTGAGTTAACCACCAAAGGAAAGCTGGTGTGCTTTAACTGTGGAGGGGGCTCCCTCCCTCATGCCATCTAGTATGTCTGGGTCCTTCCTGTGTGACCGGCCAGATGTGGGGTGTTTTATAAACATGGTGTTGCTGCCTCCCCACCCCTACCCCAAAAGGGTTAAAGGATTCAGGAGGCAATCATAGTCATTGAGTGTAAAATGCATTTAGAAGTGCTTCCCTACATGGACACATACAGAAATGAAGGCTGCATTGTCAGTCTGCCCAAACTGGCTTTCATCCAAATATTCCTGTTGAACACAGAATTGTGTGAGTGAATCTCCAGCAGGGAGACACAGCTATGCTGAACAGTAAGGGCTTCCAGGTCTAAGGGAGCTGTCAGCTTTGGGTGCTGAAGTCAAACACGCAAGTCAGAGTAACTCCATTCAAAGACTACAAGTGCTTACATCATAAATCATTTACTCTTAACAACTATACAGCTGGGGGGGGAAGCTCATGTGGCAGCATAGGCCAGGCGCGGACTTGGCAAAGCAGTTAGTAAGGTCTTTAAGCAGTCCCAGTAGGTGTGAAAGCACCAAAAGTAACATGGCACCAAACACCCCAAAATAAAAATATGAACTCTGAACACAGTTTTAAAAACCAAGGAAAGTTTCAGAAGTAGCTCTGGAGCGGCTCCCCCAGCGTGACTTCCAGTTGCTGAATGGTCTTTTGGCACTGGTGTTCTACTTCCTCACATTCATCTAAAAAAATGAAATATCAAAATTAAAATCTGGGTCCATTTGTCATCCCGCCTCATTTATCAGCATAATTTTCAACGTCCTGTGTTACCTAGCAGTTGTTCCCTCAGAGTGGAAGAAGCGCAGGGGTGACCCAGGGCACATGGTGCACTCTCCTCTGCCTTGCCTCCCTCCTAGAGAGTGCCTGGCTGCTCAACAGAACAGAGCCTGGGAGTAGAGCAGGCACTCCCAGACCCAAAACTCAAGGAAATGCTGCTCTTAGAAGCTCACACAACCCCTCTCCAGGGGCAAGTCACAGAGCAAGATGCTCTTCTGCTTATGAGAAGCAGCGAATCATTGTGCAAGTACCAGTCCCCTTGCCCAGCATCCCTGCTTAACAGAAAGGGCTGTGAGGGAGGGGTACAACACACAAGGGTATGAGCTCCAGCTGGGACAAACCTGGCTGCATAAACCAATTCCACCTGTCACACTGGCTTTGTTTCCACCATCAAACTACTTAGGGTCCTTACAAGCCTCTAGTTTCTTCCTTTGTAAAATAGGAACAATTCTTTACCCCACATGAGAACTGAAGATCATCTGTGTAGAGCATCTTAATACTGAGCACCAAGTGCCAGTCACCACTCAAATGGACATTCCAATTCATCCTTTTTTTTTTTTTTTTTTAAATGTTCTTTTAGTTGTAGGTGGACACAATACCTTTATTAGTTTATTTATATGTGGTGCTGAGGATCGAGCCCAGGGCCTTGCACGTGTGAGGCAAGTGCTATACCATGAGCCACAACCCCAGTCCCTCCAACACATCCTTAACGGCACTAGAGGTTTTGATACATTAACTCCACAACTCAAGACCAAATATTCAGCCATATAAATGTATGAGATTAATGATAAACAATACTGTAGTCTGTCTGAGCACAAAGAAGGGTAAAGACAGTGAGAAGTCCTGTAAATAGAAATAGCATGAGTGAGAGGTAGTGGCTGCCATTAGCCCATACTCTCACCTGGGAGCGAGGTGGAGGACTGGACCCCTGCTAACCATACATCCAAATCTCTATCAGCATTGGGCACGTTTCCACAGAATCTTACTATAATATTTAGTAACAGTTTGGGACCTACCTTCCATCAATTCTGCTAAGAAAGGAATGGATTCTGGTAGTAAAATGATATAATTTTCCTTCAGCTTTTCAGCCAGGGCTACCACAGTAATCAAGGCAGCAAACCGGACCTGGACAGGAATAAAAAAAGAACAAAAAAATGGTTTTATTTATTGTTCACTACTATTTTACTACATTAAGATCTGTTCTGACTTGAGACAAACTCTTTTCAAACTAAGTCTTATTTTGCATTTATTTTACTTCATTATTATGCATTAATATTATTCAACTTTCATCTTAAGATTACCAGTTTAACACTTGGGGTCTGTTTTAAATATGGGTAATTGTACAAATCAGTTTTTAGAACTCTGTTTTAACACTATTGTAAATGTCTTTTTATAATATTTTTCTGTAAGAAATAATAAAATGCTACTTGCAAGCTCAAGTGTGTCACAATCTGGAGGGGAAGGGTACTGGGGACTGAACTCGGGCATTAAACCACTGCGCCACATCCCCAGACCTATTTTGTATTTTATTTAGAGACAGGGTGTGCTGAGTTGCCTAGTGCCTTGCAGTTGCTGAGGCCGGCTTTGAATTCGCCCTCCTGCCTCAGCCTCCCAAGTTGCTGGGATTATAGACATTCACCACCATACCCGGCATGTCACCAAATTTAATTGCTTTGGAGTTCTCCAGCTTGCTGGGCTGCCTGAGATGATGCCAACCTGGCAATGAAGAGTCTTGCCTTCTCTGGCAAGTGAACTCACCCACAATCACTAGCTGCAATCACCACTGCATTGTGAGAGGGGCCAGAGCACCCACATGGATTACACTCTCATCTATTAATAAAACACAGGGTCACAATGTCCTACTTCTGAAATTAAAAAAAGAAAAAGAAATAGTTTGGGTGCTTCTCATACACCTTGTCTATGACAAGGAATGGACGAAGTCACCAGGTATTATTATAATACCATTCCAGTTTGAAATAACTCATAACTATATTTAGTCAGCATTTTTTGTTTTGTGCAATCAAAATTAAAGTAAATCTGATGCTGCAATGTATGTAATCTGTGACTTAAGATTTAAGGGTCCATCACAACAGGTTCCTTATGTTCACTTTCTAATTAACAGACGTTAAAAATCTGAACAAATCCTATTAATAGAAGTCTGCTTCGGTCTGATTTATCCAGTGAAGGTCTGTATGGTAATCAATTTGAGAAATGGCTATTCATTTCTAAAATGTTCAAGTTTCCACAGGGCATTTTAACGCCACTCCACCTGTCCATGTCATCCTGTTTCTGTTGCCAACACTTGCCCAAGAGAACTGTAAGCCTAATCTACACAGAAGAGATACTATACAATACATCTACTGCTTTAACTCAAAGGAGTATTCTACGGACAAACTGAAAGCATTTATCTCAGGAGTACAATGACATTTTAAAAACACAGATATTTAAGTCTTGCTGTTCAAGAATTTAAAATACCTAAAAAATATTTTGGTGCTCATGCCTACCACACCTGGGGAGGACGCCTATCAGTAAAAGTAAAGTTTCTAGGCTTCAATTTCCACCCAGCACAGCAGACCAGACCCTGGGTACCAGAAGACAAACTGCACTGTCCCCCGCTCCAGGCCCAGATCCTAAGGCCCATGACCCTACATCAGCGCTGCTGGCATCATGGGGAATGTGCAGCTGCAGAGCTTGTTGCCCACAGCCCCTAACCTTGGGTGAGGAGTCTCTTGTCTTCAGCAGAATCTGGTAGTTCAGGGGTTTCCACAGAGAGTCATCTGCCATGGCCACTGAGAACTGTGCAATGCAGGGAATCAGGTGCTTCGTCACCCGCTCCTGGAACCTCTCCTCTCCTCCAAGCCTGTTTTCCAGCTGTGAAGAGTGGGGCAAGGACTGTGAGCATCAAGTCTCATTTTCCTTCTACTGGAAAATGCCTGCTCTAGAATGGTATCTGGTATCTTATAATCTAACTTTCTATAGCAAGTTTCCTATCTTCTGGAACTCAGTCTCACAACCCTCAGCACCGGCTTTCTCCTCCCAGAAGAAAACCTTGGATAGCTTTCCTGCAGGGGCAGCCACACCCTCACACCTCTGAAAAA